ATCAGAGTTGCAGCAGATATATTTTCTCTATACAACCTGCCACATTATCATCTATACTCTTAACTAAGCAATTTCATCGGCCAATCGATAACATGATAACAGTAGAAAGCATGCATGGGTTCAATGGATGGTTGGTCGGTAGTTAGCTCCTCCTTTGGTTTCGTTCATTTACTAAAGCCTCTGAGCCAACGCTTCTCTGGGGATTGGAATTTGGTAAAGGTTGGACCATCTCTCTCACTCTCGGTGGTGACATTGACGATTAATCTAGCCAGAATCAAGGTTGTATTCATTTAAGTTGTTGATATCCTTGCTGCGGCGTTGGTATTTGGTAGGTAGGTCCTGGGTGGAGGAGAAGGATTGAGATGGTCGTCCCTCCACTCTCCACTGCTACAAGTCAGTATCAAGGAAGGCTGTATTGAATTCATACAGTTACCCTTCTCCGGTCAATGCGCAGAGAATTTAAATGAGATAAGAATATGAAAGGTAAGGGGGTTTGTTTACCAACCAAACCATTTTATAATTTTCTAATCAGACGAGCCAGCTGAGGCTGAGGGAGTACGTTGTAGGCATTTTCCCAACTAAAAGCTCTATAAGCTGAAGCCGAGAATTCCCAGAGCCGACGGCTCAGCTACCGCAGTGACGTTAGAATCTAGCAGGTGGCCCCTTGGGAGAAAGTGGGGGAAGTTGTTGGATCAGGACAAAATTCAAAAGCAAGTGGTGTTACTAGCAAGCAAGCAATAGGCAACAGGGCTCCGGAAAGGTTGGGCCACCTACACGTTTCGGTTGCCCGTGGTTGGTGAATAATGGTGACGATAGCCGATTAAAAGGTGAAGCCCTCCCGGCTTTCCGTTCAAACTTGACCCAATTCCAATATCGATGTGTAAGTGGGTGAGTCATGGGTGTTGGTAGCTTATAGTGACAGGTTTCTTTAACCTTTTTTTTTATGGGTATATAATTTTTTAAAGAAAAAAGATGACATCATATTTCCTGCTATCATGCAACAATCCAAAAACCCCTCAATAAAGAGTTTGGAGGTGCTGACCATAACATGTTATTCGTCATGTTTATCTAACCGCACATTAGGAATATTAGTGATATAAATTATAATTGATGTTCTTAATATTATGTAGTTGGAGCCAATGCCACAAACAATGTATTGTGGTCAGCACATCCGAATTCCTCAATAACATATAAACATGCTTAGTGTTTGAAGGTAACAAACAAAATATCACATCTGGTGTTTGGTTAAAAACACTGTCAATGTTCAAATTTCACTAAAACCGTGTTTGATTTGAAGGAAAAAGTAGGAAAAGGAAGGAAAAGATAAAAAAAAAATCTTTTACAAACTTTGTATAAATTTCCCTACCTTTCTTTTAAATCAAACATAACCTAAGGGTTTTAGGAAATCTTTTATCAAAAAAGAGATGTATTATTGGCTAATACATTAACAAATTAATCATGCTTAAACATTTTCGTTTAGAAGGTATGATGAATGGGTGCATCCCACGTTCATGTGATGTTGGATTCCACGTTCAATATAGTATAAGACAAGGGGAAAAGGAAGAACCATGATATAATTTTGTTTAAGTAATGGTAAAGTACTCATGTTTTTCATTAAAAGAAGGAATGATTGAATAGATGATGGATGATTTGTATCTCTTATATATAGGTAGGTATATTAATTGTATGTATTAGAGCAATTAACATTAACATAGAGGCCAAGTTTGGAGTTTTATGAATAGTTAGTTGACTCTCTAGTCTCTATATATACATATAATAAGAAATAATAATTAATTAAGAAGATGTAGGCATGTGCCACCCCCAACTGCAAATTTGGGGGTTGGAATGGATTCCAATCCGACCATCCAATCCGATCCGATTTTGAGAACACTGGTTGAGACGTAGAATTATTTTGTGGGGTTGGAATGGATTCCCAAATTTCACATGCTATGCTTATGCTTATATCAGAAAGGAAAATGAGAAAGTATGATAAAGACAGTTATATATACTATAATGATATTATCACCTTATCGCATCCCACCTTAAAGTAAATCAGCACAACAAAATGACAAATATCACTCAAAGGTGCGCTGTGAGAGAGAGAGAGAGAGAGAAATTGTGGGGCTCATAAGCGTTTGGTATGACAATGCAATTGGCATGGTTGCATCTCGCGTGGGTAAGCTATTCATTGAGGGGGGCGTAAATCACGTGGGCCGAGTCTGAGTGTGGAGGCAGCAGGGAAGAAGGAAGAAGGTAGATAGATTGACAATAACTGTGCAAATCCATGCAAAATGTATAGCTTTGACTCTCTCTCTCATGCGTAAGCTGGCTACAGCCTCGTCCCACGTGGTTAATTTGTCAATCACCATGTTTCCAATTTCCATTACTGTTGTTGCATGGAGTCATATAGATGTGTCACGCAGAAACCAGAAAGAGCCCTGTGACAAAGGATGTGAGATCTCCTACTACATCCTACATCCATCCTAAGGCTATAGATATTAGAGTCAATTGAAAAACTTTTCCTCCTATCATAAAAAAGATGATATAAGACCACGCATCCATGTTTCTAAAAGGTTTTGTACTTCCCATTTTCCAATGAGGTAGTGAATCGAATCGCAACCGTTACCATTAACATTTTAATAATAGGAGTCAAGGTGAGCTGGTAGATATGGATTTTGGAAAACCATTTCACCCACTCTTGAGGTTCCTAATAAATACTTTAACCTCTCCTCTGTTTATGTTTTAAAAATGATTTTAAGATTCCTTCCAAAATTCAGTCAGATGTATTGCTCAGAGCAAGTGTTATGAGGTTGGTGTGAGGCACATTCTACGAGGAGCAAATCCACACTACCGCTATCATCCATTTTGTATTTGTATGTATAATCATCCATCTCTCTATCTACGTCTACGTGTAAGAGTCAAGTCATCGATATGCTTAATATATATTTTTTTTTCATAAATACTATTCACTTATTCAGGCCGCGTGTATTTAACCCCTTTTACCATTATTTAAATGCTAAAGATATATCTATTACTTATAATTTAACAAATCAGCATGCGAAAAAAACCATTGTATATTGTACCATACACTGGATGGACTGAAAGCTTACGCTTTTTCACCTATCAAGAAAAAAAAAACAATTTTTTCTTAGGCTGTGTTTGGTTGCAATGTAAATAAATTTGTACTGATGCAAAATTGTGGAAATGCAAATGATTTAAGTGTAAATTTTGACTTATTTTTGTTTGATTGCAATACAAATGAAGTAAATAAAAAATGAAGCAGATTAACGTAAAAACCCAAAACAAAATTAAACAAGAATTTGCATTTTTTTCATTTGCACTCCTATGCATTTGAAATAGTACAAAATTACAAATAAAATTGCACCGCAACCAAACACAGCCTTATGTTTTTCAAACAAACAATTTTTCTTATGGTTTTTTTTTTTCATTTTCTAAACAAAAAAAAAAAACAAAATTTTCTTATGTTTTCATTTAATGGGGCTAAGCACCCCAGCCTGTTCAAGAGAGGATTCAATCCCAAGTCTGCTACAATCAGCCTAAATTCCCAAACTAATGAAGAGAAGATTCAATCCCAAGTATGCTGCAATTTGCCTAAAGCCTTGTTACGGTTCTTTTTCAGCAAGCACAGGTGTTCACGAGTCAGGTTGGGTCGGTTTATTGGGGTTTTCCCAACTGGCCCCACCTGGTCGGGTTACCTGAGGTGGAAACCGAAACCGATCCACTGATAGGCCAAACCAACCTAGTCGGTTTGAGCCGGGTTAGGTCGATTTCGGTTTTACTCCTGTAGAAAAGGACACCTAATTGAATTCTAATTGTAATTGCCTAATGGGCTGCCCATTTGGTGTAAAAGATTATAGAAAGTTAGAAACTATGATAGATTACCTATTCTAATTGTAATTGCCTAATGGGCCTTCTAGTTCTAGTAGAAGACTAGTTATAGTTAAGTAGGAAACTATTCAAACTAGGAACTACCGAACTAGTAGAAGACTAGTTCGATTTGAGTCGGGTTGGTTTCGATTTTCACACAAGAAAACCGAAACCGACCGGTACTGATGAAAACCTGACCGACTCGGGTTGGGTCGGTCCGAGTTGGTCAGTTTGGTCAGGTTAGGCATTCTTATGAACAGCCCTATCAGCAAGTACCTTTGACAGATGACCCATTTGACACTAGAACAAAAATGATACATCCATAGGTAGCTAGTGTCTGGATCTGCCCCTCACATAGTGTTCCTGTTCCTCAAACCTTACAGCATGTCCCAACACACATAAAAAACATCTCACATACTTGTATGTTATTAGTCATAGGAGATGTTCTCAATACACAGTGGGATGTGGCTGTGAAATCAGTGTGAAGACCATTTTGTGAAGAGCAAATCCCAATTTAAGATGCTGCCACTGCTTTTTGTTCTACCGAAGCCAATTAAGATAAGTTCGAATCTTGTCCCAATAGTTACATCGGGAACTTCTCATTATGAAAGACAAAAGGAGATATTCCCAATGCATGACTACAATGGTTGTTGGGACTAGATCCGAACTCAATTGAGATACCAATATTGTTTCTCTCTGGAGGCTCGAAACAAACATGTTATTCCAGATTATTTTATGAATTAAAAGAATATCTATGCTAAAGTAGTTTGAACGTGCAAGCTATTGCAAGGATATCCAGGTCTTACACATCAAAGTTGAAGAATCCTCAGACGGGAGAGTAACACTCGGATCAACTTTAAGTTACAGATAGAAATTATAAAATTATGTGCTGAAAATTAATTTTAAATTCTTAAGCATTCATAGGATCATTTGGTATTTGTATTTTCGAGGAGCACTTGATTACTTTAACACGATGATTAAAATATTAGACTTACATTACAGCTTCCAAAGGCGTGCACTGCATCATCATTTGCACTTATCCACTTCAAGGTGGTGGTAGCCAGTACTAAGTACTTTGTTTTTATTTTTCTTTTTCAGTTGGATGACGAGAATAAACAATAAAATAAAATGGTCATCTAGATGTAGGAAAAAAAAAATTATGGATTACAGTCAATTTATACAGTATTGTCAGACTCGGACTAGATAGAAAACCAGAGAACTTCAAAACTCCCTGGGTCATGGTTTTATGGGTCAACAGGCGGATTAGATCATTCAAACAACAGGGACCCGGAGAGCTCACCGGGTCACCCTGTCCCATCTACTACTCTCCCACTGATAAGTGAAAATCAATCAATGTTTATAAAAAATGTGGAGAAATTAACAAGTGGTTGAACAATAACGTACCACATTGTCAACACCCAGAGTGTCAGATATATAGATGTGGATCATTTCGTTCTTTATCACCATCACCTGATGAATAGAACTCAACCATTTGTATCCCTCTTCCACCTACTGCAATCCAGTATCGGTTGCTGAAATTGATCAACAAGAAAAATCGTTTATGTTAGCACTTTCTTTGTTACCAGTTAGCAGTCACCACAAATTGCTAATGGGCGGAAATTAAGATAGCTGCTGGCTCACCTGCCACAGGCTCTAGCATCTATGGTCTCTGGCTCTGGCACACTAATGATCAAATGTGAATGCTCGGTAAGCTCACCATGTTCCTCAACATGCCAACATCTAACTCGTTGATCAAGACCGGTAGAAAACGCCCAAATCCCATCTGTCCAGACACCTTCACGAAGAATATTTTAGTGAAAACCCACATTCCATCCAATTTCATGGTTACAAATCTCATTATATCATATTATATTTATGTTATACATATATATACGGTGGATTTTCCTCTAGGGTTTTTGAAAGCACCGTCTTTCAAGAGGAATGAAAGCAATCTAGAAAACATATACAAAGGTAGACAAAGCTTTGCCTGTTTTATAAATATTCTTTTGAAAATGAGATGGAGACAGGTTTGCTAATTGGGACCTTTAGGCTGTGTTTGGTTTGAAGGAAAAAGTAGGGAAACCTTTACAAACCTTGTATAGGCTTCCCTACTTCTTCCTTCAAACTAAACATAGCCTTGGAGGAAAATTAAGCGACTTAGGAATCTTCCACTTGGCAAACTTTCCCTTCTTTAACCCTTTTTTATTGGTCATCTCCTTGCCCTTATTCATAGAATAAGTTTCAGCGCAAAAAAATATGTCTAATATAAGCTCCTTGTTTTATGTTTAATTGAGTATCTTCTAAGTCAAAGTTGAAAGTTCAGATGTTTTTTATTATTAGCGTACAGACATGATACCAGGATAACTGTCCATAGGTGGAACAAAGCAATTTTTTATGTAAATTACATGTTTGACACCTGGTCCAGGCATGTCTTTGCTATATTTGGTTATCTTATGACCATGGAGGTCTATGGGGCTGAAGGCTGATGAGAACACACTATACAACACAGAATACCTTTTGCCTACTGCAAAACTAGTGCTGAGATAAAATTTGTCAAGAATAACTATCTTTTACCTTTTACAGCAGAGCTGTGAGCTGAAGCAATTCTTTCATGATATAAGAGCCTCAACCCATACTCCTTTTCTCCATAAAGAGAAGACTTCCCCATGTCACATAATTCTGCTGTCTGATTTGCAGTATCATCAACTTTCTTGTTTTCAGCGTCATGGCTTGTTGGCTGTAGAACCAAGTCAAAGGTAAGACAGTGAACTGCTTGGTCGTCTCCCCCACTTAATACATAGTAAACATATCCAAACCGATCATCTCTCCAGTCCCTAATATTTGAAACATGAATACAATTGACACCAGATTGGTGGATATGTTTCAGAACATGCAAGGGGTGCACTTCACAAATTTCGAATGGCGATTTATCTGTGTGCATATCTGACTCAGACGAGTTGGCAGGATCAATAGTTTGAGGGTAATCTATAGTGCATTTGTTTGGATTACTCAAGTCGGATGAGCTTCCACACCCTTCAGAATCAACTAAATGACCATTGGTATCCCCTCTTTTATTCACGTCCACGGTAACTCTCTTTTTTGCTTTGGAGGGCTGATTACTTAATGATCTCCACCACCGTCCACCCTGGCTTCCTCTTCCTGTTCTGGGCCTCTTCTGACAGTCAATGACCTTTTCTGGTTGGAGGATCGAGATTTGTTGCATAAAACCATTAACACTTTTAGTCAGATCCCAGAAGCTAATGCTTCCATCAGTGGACCCACCAACAACAATATATGCACTTCCAATTTGAATCCTACCTGTGAATAGATAAGTTAATTCCAGTAAAGCTGAAAAAGTAGAACAATTAGGATGCTAAAAATCTAACTGCAAATGACAACTAATGGTTGAAAAGGAAATTTGATGTAGAGAAATTTCTCTCAATATTGGCAAATTCCCCAAGGCTCTCGTTACAAAAGCACCCGGTCTCAGAGAGGAGCTCATGGATAAAGTTACACATTTAAATTTGTTTCAGATTTAATATTATTTTTTATATAAAGAAAACACCTTTAGACTTTGGGGGCGTTCTCCAACATGGAGTGTTTTTCTTGTTGCCAGTTCCAAAAGTAAATCAAAACCATCTGCTTTGAAAACAGATTATTTCTCGTAAAAACACAAAGATGTTTTTGGTTATATATATATATATATATAATTGCATATTATATTTTTTTCTAAGCATGGCCAATTACATAAATACACCTAAGAAGAATAAGAAAATAAAATAATAAAATAATGAAAAATGATCCATGCTATATCCCTATTGTGTACTATGGTACGTCAAAAACATAAATAAGATTGCAGAAGTCACCGGGCCCATTTAAAAATGTCCATCCAATCAATTGGATCCTTAAAAAAGAAATAATCGTTCATATTTAGACTATTTATTGCTGGATATGGCTTTAAACAAAATGATGGCAAAACAGGATTCATGTAGCCGACCCCATATAGTTGGGATAAGACTACGATCATTTGGATTATTTATTGGGCAAAATTATTAGAAAACTCCAATACTTGTTCAACACTATAGACCTGCTCTGAAAAATCAAACGTAAACAAAACTTACCTTTAGGAGGGGCATATATAGGAATAACCGCATGCTGCAGTGACAGAACAGGAGATGATAAGGGAACTAGTAGAGCCACATCAAACCTGAAAGTAAAAAAAAAAAAAAAAATCACCGCATAAGACAAGTGAAAAGAGAATTCATCACTCAGGTGGTAAGGATGAAGCGTAAAACAAACAACACAAACCATGGGACATGTTTAAAAAACAAATGGTTGATGTAAACGCACCAGAGCCGATAGGGGAGAAGGAGAGCTCGTAATACAAGTGTGGCGTCCGAACAAGAAACAACAACGAAACAGACCGTCAACCTGATAGGGAACAATGGAAGAACTTGTTAACCCATTTGAGATTGGAGGTCCAAACTGAGAAATTAACAGAAAGAGTAAATTAAAATGAAGACGGCTGGAGTTGTCACATCATACCTGCAATCAGTGCCTTTAACAAGAAATGCAGTAACGGCCAAATATCTCCAGTCATCTTCATTTTTTTCACTAACCTTACACTCCAACTCCATCTTCCCATCTTCAGTATGTGATCTATATTTTGAATTTGTTGTCATTTTATAAGTGTTTTCTACCCTTTTACGAGTACTAGAGAACTTTGATGGCATGTCAGTGGAAAGCCATTGGAATGACATTGATGAATTATTGTTTGAGGGAGTAAAGCTATTAATGGGTGGATCACCAAATGTCTCTTCCTTATTGCCCAGCCTCCTATTTCGGAGAAGCCAGGAAGTTAAGACCCTCTTTGCCCCAACAGAAATGAGTAACTGATTGTCTCTGTTATCTGGCATCACCTTGTTTCCATTCTTGTCATTAGAGATGTAGGATTTATATTCTAAAGTTGTGTGTGTTTTTGACACAAAGCAAATTGATCGCACAGCTGATCCACCAACATGCTCCCCCAGCAACTTGGATGTAGACCAACCCTTAGTTTCAGAAGAATACCTATATCATGAATCCTGATGTTAACTTACTTCCTTCAATTGCAGTGTCATTTCAATGCTCACAAGCCAAAAATGAAAAACGAAAAAAAAAAGCAGCAAACAGATGAACAAGAATTATGTATGTAGATGTGTGTGTTTGTCATATGTATAATTGCTTCATTATTTTCTTATGTCAGATCTCTAAATAGAAATTTTTTGATACTGTCATACCTTGTCAGTCTCACACTTCCATCCTCACTTCCTGTTGCGATCCAGCTTGACCTAGTAAAGTGATTGCTGCTTCTGTCTGCAAATTGTGTACCTTCAGAGACAAAACACAACGAGTGTATCTCTCTTCCATGGTTTTGCATGTGCAGAACACGAGGAATAGACTTCTTCTCACTTGCTGGTACCCAGAGTCTATGGATATGAACAGCATGATCCTGAACATAGGAAGGTAAAATGACAAGAAACGTGAAATAAATAATGACGCAAATATAACTTCTTTTCTGTTACTCAAGTAAGATCATGTGGATATCCTCATATATCCTGTGAATCAGATAATACCACTCCTCAAGGTCCCTCTCTGCATGTTTCTAAGCCCAGAATCAAATGATCCTGACTGCAAGATTGTCCATTTTTCATAACATGTATGCTGATTTCCAAGAGAATAAAGTAGGATAATAACATTAGGTCAAATTTTGATTAGAACTTCCAGATGGGTCCATATAAACAATGTGCCTCATTCCATCAGTTCACCATCCTTACAATCTATATGATTTAGAGTTATACCAAAAATTTCCTCAAAAAAGAAGGTAGATTCAAACCTTGACAAAGGCAAAGCAGTTTTGGATATCGGGTGCATCACCAAGATAATAAGAATAAGGACGCCGCCATCCACCACATGGAATTTCTACCACCTATACAACATTCATCCTTTTGTATCCACAAAGACAAATAATAGAGAATGAAACATATACTGTAACTTGGAAGAGAACAAGAGGGAATACCTTTGTTTCATTTGTTAAGTTCCACATTATAAAATCTGCTGAAGCAAAACCAATTGCATAATTACCGCATGCCAGGTCTTCGTCAGTGTTGGCATCACTGGAAACAGAATGGATCAAACTTAGTTCTTTCACTTGCTTCATTCCTGTAAATTCCAAACTTTTCCAGTCGCTGTCATATTTAAAGTAGCATACACAGCCATCTGCTCCAGTCTGGACAAGACAAAAACAGGTAATCAACTGAACTAATGTATCAAAGTTCTCTTTCCAAGTTGTGTTAAAGGTATCTTATAAGTTTGATATTCAAAGATATTCCCTTAGATTTAACAGAATCCTGAAATGATGCAGATATGGAAACAAGGAATCCATTGAGAAATATGAGTTTTTTATTTCAAAAATTTTGGCTGCTGGGATATCAGCATTGTTTGAGTTTTTTAAATTTATTTTCTAGTTGTAGGTGCCTTGAGAGTTAAGAATAGGGTTTTATGTTTTCCAGAAATTTACTGTTATTTAGGCCTAGTTTTTTTTCAATGCAATTTTTGTTTGCAGTGTAAATGAAGGAAAACAAAACCTAAAGCAAAGCAAGGTAAAATTCAAAGCAAAACTGAACCAGAATTTACACTCTTCACATTTATACTCCAATGCATTTGGGCTTAGTGCAAATGAAATTGCATTATAAACAAATGGAGAACTAGGAACTACTATTTGTGGTAATTTTCATACTTACTATTTATAATGATTCCCATAATTACTATTTATGGTAAATTCAAGATTTTCCATTTTTTATGATGTCTGGTGTCTTTACATTAAATTAGTTCTAGTAGGATTAGGAAGTATTATTATAGTTGTTTAGGAATTGCATTCCTCATTTGAGTGTCCCTATAGGATATCTATGGATTTTCCTTAGCTTTAAAGCAATTAGAAGTTGATTTGTGTTAGTTTTCTACACCAATTTGGAGTCTGTAAAGGGACATCTCAGTCCATAAATTGAGTCTACAAATAGGGTCATTGTAATTGCAATTAAGGATTGATTTGATGAAATAAAGTTTGGTTTGGTAAATTCTGGTTGTTGTCAGGAATTTTTCTCTTTTTTCCTCCCTCACCCACTTCTTCTAAGTGATCTATCTCTTTAAAATCTATGGCCAGTAGATTCAGTAGTAGAGTGGCAGTGGAGGACTTTCCTGCTGAGCAAGTTTGGAATTCAGTTAGCCCATCAAAAGATAATTTCTTTGTCTGGACAATGGCCTTAAATAAATGTCTGTCCAGAACTAATCTTGAAAGAAGAGGCTTGCAGATCTCGGATAAGTCTTGTGCCCTTTGTGATGATCATCCTTCGTCTACGGATCATCTCTGCATTCACTGCCCATTTGCTGCCCAGGTGTGGTACCACTTGAAGGCTGTGGGGATATGTTGGATCATGCCAAAATCTGTTAAGGATTTGCTCTGTAGCTGGAAGATCAGTAATTTGAAGAAAAGAGGGAAACTGGTCAGGACCTCCATCCCGGAAGCAGTGATTTGGGCTATTTGGTCTGAGAGAAACAACAGAATTTTTAAACAAAGAGTGAGAGGGCCTGAGGAAATTTGTCAGATGGCTGTTGGTAAACTGATATCCTGGATTTCAGTCACCCCAGAATTCAAACATATAAATGTAGCTCAGTTACTGAGAAATCAGTCAATTTGGTGCTTGTAATGGGGGGTTCTCAGGCTTGCCTTGTTGGCAGGTTCTGTTTTGTACTCTTAAAAGTTTAATCTAATAAATTTACCTTACCTTTTCAAAAAAAAAAAAAAAAAAAGAAAAAAATCTATCTCTTTGCTCTTTACCATAACAGCAAGAGGCTGTCTTTCTAATTTTTTGCTCATTCTTTGGTGAACAGTAAGCTGTTTACTTGCTTCCTCATCCCTATTCTTCATTCTTTACCATCCAAGCCCCTCTACCCCACAAAGCCCACCAGATAGGACCCCTACCCTGTCCTACATTACAAAAACTCTAGGTTATCACTAGAAATTTCATATTGTTTTACAAATATATCATGAATTTTCTGGCATATATTGATGTTCATAATCTAACAACCAAGTCAATAACCTTTTCAAGTTTTGGTTATCAAAGTTTTAGAGTGTCCACAAACTGTTGATTTCATGGTAAAACACTTAAAAAAACCAGATTTACAGTCATAAGATAAATTGCTTGGCATCTCTATCAGTTTAGGTCAGGCCTTACTGAGCGTATATCAACTTGATTAACACAGAATTGAGCTATTGAAATGCTGGCAATGCTTGATATGCCATGAGCTCCTTTGAAATAGTTTAATGGAGGGATCTTCACTCCTGGTGCAATGGAAGTCGCCTGTAAGAGGTTCTTTGACAGAGGGAACACAGTTAAATTTCCACGTTGATCCCCACAAACTAGAACCTACAAGAAGTTGAGCAAATAGTCTGTTCAGAGTAGTACTTGAGATGCAAATAAAAACCAAAACTACAATAAACGTTTTTCTGAAGAAATAAGTAGCTACCAAGAAGATTCCTAAAATTTTGTATTTCCCAGTCATTTTAGAGCATTGTTATAAGACTCAGAGTCTCAGACCATATACAAAACAGTAAAGGCTGCTAGGTCAGTCAGATGGTCCGACCACTGGGTAAACCCACCTGACGTCATATTTATACGATATAAAAATATTATTCATGTTGTGATATGTTGTTAGACTTAGTTTTTATTTCTGCTGTTAGAGTGCTTCAGCCTAGGATGCTGTCAGAATGTTCTTTTCTTTGTTTTAAGTTCTTATTATTAAGGTGTGCCACCAGGGGCATATTTGTAATCTCTCTTTTCTTTTATTTTACATCATGTTAATATAAATAGAAAGCTGGGCACCGCCAGCCCAACCTTTTGACTCTCAAACACTTTCTTCCTCTTCTCTTCTTTTCTCTCTTCTCTCTCTCTTCTAGAAAGAAAGCATGGTATCAAAGCATAACTGGGCGATAGGAGGCTCTTTTCTCCTCTGAATCACATTCATTCCACCCAATTTCTCTGATTCTTGGACAATGAAGACAAGAAACCCTAATCGGACTGATCAGAACCAACTGTCGCTGTTTTTTCTGGGTTCTTCCTTGGTCGTAGCACCAAGGTAACCCTAGTAGGAGGGGACCGATGCTGTGAAGGCTCTCTTTCCTTTGGCCAATGCTGTGAAGACTTGATCTTGGACCTGCACCTTCGTACAGGTGCTGTAAGGGGTGTGTGATCCCCTTTCGTCACAGGTATGTACTGTGATTGGTTGGCGTGTGTTGCGCATAGACCAATGGTGACTGAACTCTAATTTTTGTACTGTCCCTGGATGGTTTATTTCTTTTTTTTTTTTTTTGGATGAATTCCCTGGATGGTTTAACTGATGCTAGAGGATTTCAGCAGTATGGTTTGTTATTTTTGGACTGGTTTTTTGAACTGTTTAAGTGCTGCCAGTAGGTTTCAGCAGTGGGTTCTTTATTTCAGAAGCAGATCTTTTGGTGTTTAGTGCCCTAATTATGACTTGGAGAGGTAGTAGTTGTGTGGGGACTGGTCTTGTGGACCGGTGGTTTGAGTGTGGTCATGTAACCTTTGTTTCTGTCAATGGCAAATGATGATTTTGCCTCATCTGGGGTTACATCAACCCGTAGTACAGCTGGTATGGGAGCTGAAAATATGATGTTTCCCATGCCAATTACCCCTTTAAATGGCCTGAACTACCTAGAGTGGGCTAAAGGTGTAAAACTTAGGTAACAGCAAGGGGAAAAGCTGGCTACATAAATGGAAGAGTGAAAAAACCCAAGGATGGGACAGCTTAACATGATAGGTGGGACCAAGAGAACAGTAATGGTGATGTCTTGGCTTCTTGCAACCATGAAACCTGATGTGAAGAACTTTATGTGGGCAGACACTGCTAGTGAGATATGAGAATAGGCCAAAACCACCTATTCTGAGCAAAGGCACTATGCCAAGATTTACCAGGTACAAGCTGAATCCTCAACCCGTAACAGCTTAACATGATAGGTGGGACCAAGAGAACAGTAATGGTGATGTCCTGGCTTCTTGCAACCATGAAACCTGATGTGAAGAACTTTATGTGGGCAGACACTGCTAGTGAGATATGAGAACAGGCCAAAACCACCTATTCTGAGCAAAGGCACTATGCCAAGATTTACTAGGTACAAGATGAATCCTCAACCTGTAAACAGGGGTAGAAGTGTAAATCGAGCTGTGCCGCCCATGGCCTGGCATGGCCTGGCACAACACGACACGATGGCGTGCCAGGCCCGACACAATGGTCCGGGCAGTGTTGGGCCTAGGGTTCCAAGTCCACGGACCGGCACGTACGGCACGACTATGCATGTCGTGTCGCCCATGGCCCACGTGCCAGCACGACCCACCCGTGGCATAGCACACGGCACGGCCCGTTACGGCCCACGGGCCCATAGCGAGCTGCGCTTGTCCTGCACAATGAACTAGCCGTTGGGGGGTCCCCAATGGCTAGTTTCAGCTTTTTGGGGGGGGGTTATAGAAATACCCCCCAACAGCTATAAGCAGCTATATAGGCGGGTATTTATGTATTTTGGTTTTGGGGGAGAAAGAATGACAAAAATGCCCCCCAACAGCTATATAATATAGCTAGTTTAGGGGGGCATTTCGAGTAAAGTGATAAATAACCTTACAATGACCAAAATACCCCTCCTAACAACTAAAAAATAGTTAGTTTTTAGGGTATTTTGGGCAATTGAATTATTTTCAATTCCTATAAATATCCTTATCCTCCACCATTCTTTTCACACCAATTCAACAATTCCTATAAATAGCCTTATCCTCAACCATTTTCAATTCCTACAATGATCAAAGTCAAGAACAATAGGAGAAAACGATGAAGTCAATATTTTTGTATACTAAATAGTTGTATAGCATTTTTTCAAATTATTACAAATTTTGTTTTAATTTTATTTAATTTATTTGAGTTATTTTCAATTTGTAACTATATTGTATTTTTATATTTTATTAATTTATTCCATTTTCCAATTTTCATATTTCATTCATCCAACCATTGTATGCTTTGTATCATTCAAATTTAAATGAAATAAAATTCCTATTTTTCCTCCAATTTGTTATTCACTTTGAGTATTTGTGTCTTTGACTTCTTTGTTAGATTTCTTATTTTTTCAAATAGCTTCCAAAGGAAAGTTAAATATTTTAGTTTTACCTAGAAAAAAAATAAAAAAATAAAAAATGTCAAAAAAACAAAAAAAGAAAACAATATGGCCCAGTTTGGCCCACGCCCAAGGCCCGACCTGTGGCCCAGCTTGGCACGGCCCAGGCCCACGGCACAACTTGCAGCCCACCCGGCCCAAGCCCGCAACACGGCACGGGCCCACATGGGCTTGGGCCATGCTAGGCCGACCCCCCAAATTATCCCTGGCTCCCACTTCTATTGTGGATGACCTTGACGTTCCTATTGCTAAAAGAAAGGGAGTCAGGTCATGCACTACCAAACATCCCATTACCTAGTATGTCTCCTATGATCACATTTCCCCCCCTCACTGTGCCTTTTTATCTGTAGTTGATAGCATCATCCCCAATACATAGAAATGTTGTAGATAGGAGTGCTCACAGTTCGGTTAACAGAACTGTGGGCCTTTTTTTGTAACCAAACCGGTACTACCGATTTTTGGAAAACCAGTAACCGAAACCGAACCGAAGCCAATTAGTTAACCGCTGGTTCGGTTTTTCGATTTTTTAATTTTTACAATATATATTATAAAAATATATATAAATATATAATAAAAATTATAAATATATAGTATTATATTTTAAATAATAAATAATATATCATATATTATAAATATATACTTATATATAATGCATATTTATTAATTTATAATATATAAAATATACATAGTATTCAAGGCGCCAAGGCGAGGTTGGGCAACTGGGGGGTGCCTTGTCGCCTAGTCGCCTAGGCGATGGATTTTTTTATGTTAAAAACATAGACCTTAGGGTAGTTCCCTAGGTACCATAACCATATTTCTTTAATAATTATTCATGATTTTCATAAGAAAAGTATAAATTTCATATTAAAGTATAGAAAATCAACATATTCATGAGAAGAAAATGAAAAAGAAAAATAAAATTCAAAAAATATAGGGGCTGAACCCTTATTTTTGTTATAGGAAAAGAAGAAAATAAAAAGTATTGGTAGTAGTAATAGTAGAAGAAGAATATATGGAAGAGGAAAATGTGCTGATTAGATAAAATTTTAAGTTCTTCCTTACTTATTGGTTCAGGTTTTTAAGTCTTTGAGGGTTCAATACAGCATTTAGCAATGTTTGTGTTGATTAAAACCCTAAGAAATAAGAAAATAATAAAAAGAAATTAGTATATAAACACACAAAATGATTATTTTAGTTTAACGATGTCTATTTTATAATTATAATTTCAAAAAAGAATGAATAAAAAAGTATTTTATAGTAGGAAGTAGAAAAATGCTTAGCGATTAGGCGAGGCGAGCTTTAAAGGGCACCTTGTCGCCTAGGCGTCGCCTTGACAACTATGTAAAAATATATAATATACATAAATATATAAAATATATAGAAATATAGGTATACCAGTCAGTTCGGTTAACCGCCGGTTTTCTATATTGGTTAACTGAAACCGAACCAGTACCTTCAGTTTTTTAAAAACACTGAACTGATAACTAATTTTTCGGTTCAGTTTTGATTGGTTCGGTTTTTCGGTTTTTTTTGCTCACCCCTAGTTGCAAAGGCCTTAAAATACCGTTAATGGATAGATGCTATGAAGGAGGAGATTAATGCCCTCCATAAGAATCAGACTTGGAAGTTCGTAGATCTTCCAAGAGGGAAAGACCCAGTGGAGTGTAAGTGGGTATTTAAAGTGAAACATAAGGCGGATGGGACAGTTGAAAGGTACAAAGCAAGGCTTGTAGCAAAAGGGTACACTCAAGTCTATGGTGTTAACTATGATGAGACGTTTGTTCCAATAGCTAAGATGAACTCAATTCGTGTTCTTTTATCATTGGTTGCAAACTTTGATTGGAATTGCATCAATTGGATATAAAGAATCCCTTTTTAAATGGTGACCTGGAGAAGGTGTACATGGTTCAGCCCCCAGGTTTCTGTGCCAAAGGCAGTGAAAATAAGGTGTGCAAACTAAGAAAGTCCCTCTATGGCTTAAAACAATCTCCCAGAGCATGGTTCAGTAAGTTTCATACAGCGGTCCAGCAAGTAGGATTCAAACAATGTCAATCTGACCACACTCTCTTTGCGAAGAGATGTCAGGAACATGTTACTGTGTTGATAGTGTATATGGATGATATCATCATTACAAGAAACTGGAGCTCAGAAATACAAAGGTTGAAGGAGTTCCTAACCTCCCAATTTGAAGTGAAAGATTTGGGTCCACTAAAGTACTTTCTTGGAATTGAAGTTGCCTGCTCAAAAAGAGACATCTTCATTTCTCAAAGGAAGCATATCCTTGATCTGTTACAAGACGCAGGCAAGTTAGGTGCAAAACCAACAGACACTCCTATGGACATTGATCATAAACTGGGTGATTGTGATGGTGAACCTCTAGAAGATGTGAAACAATTTCAAAGGTTAGTGGGAAGGTTGCTTTATTTGTCCATGACACGTCCAAATTTTTCTTATTTAGTTGGGGTCCTGAGCCAATTCATGCATTCCCCTAAGAGACCACACATGGAGGCAACAGAGAGGATTCTTAGGTATTTGAAGAAGTATCCAAGATGGTTTGCTATTCAACAAACATAATCATCTGAAGGTGGAAGTCTATACAAATGCTGATTGGGCAAGTCTTGTGGATGATAGAAAGTCCACAAGTGGGTACTGCACATTTGTGGGAGGAAATCTAGAGACCTGGAGAAATAAAAAACAAAGTGTAGTTGCAAGGTCAAGTGCTGAAGCGGAGTATAAGGCTATGGCACATGAGGTGGCTGAAGTACTTTGGGTGAAGAATCTTCTAGGGGAACTTGGGATTACAGTTCACAATCCTATGTCTCTTTATTGTGACAATAAGGCAGCTATAAATATTGCTGGCAATCCTGTCCTACATGATAGGACAAAGCACATTGAAGTGGATAAACACTTCATAAGAAAAAAATTGGAAAAGGGAGAAATTTGTACTCCTTATGTCAACTCCAAGGAGCAACTAACCAATATTCTCACAAAAGGGCTTCCATACTTGCGGCATAATGAGTTGTGTGACAAGTTGGACATGATAGATATATTCAGCCCAACCTGAGGGGGAATGTTGTTAGACTTAGTTTTTATTTCTGCTGTTAGAGTGCTGTCATCCTAGGATGCTGTCAGCATGTTCTTTTCTTTGTTTTAAGTTCTTATTATTAGGGTGTGCCGCCAGCATATTTGTAATCTCTCTTTTCTTTTATTTTACATCATGTTAATATAAATAGAAAGCTAGGCATCGCCAGCCCAACCTCTTGACTCTCAAACACTTTTCTTCCTCTCCTCTTCTCTTCTTTTCTCTCTTCTAGAAAGAAAACATGATATATGTATAAGTTGTCGTCAGATGGTTTTTGTCTTCGTTCTCGATACAAGTTTCTGGGGTTCAAGTCTTTTAACTCACACTTTATTCAAATTTCAAAGACTTATATAGATATTTGATTAATATAGATATTAAAGAGACAAAAATAGGTGAAAATGCTATAATGGATAAATGGTATCGTGTTAATATATGCAAGGTAGAGGTCACAAACTCAAATTTCACCATTTCGAATTTATGATTTGTCAATGATGTAGCCAGGAATTTTTCTAGTGGGGTCATAAATAACTTAAAGTTTTGTAAATATCAAAAAGTACTATTTTTTGTTTTTTTTTGCATTTTCAATCACCCAAATCGTAGATCATGGAGGCCTTTGTGCGTGTTTGGAGGGTTTTAACGCAGCGACTTCTGGCAATGTTTCAGCCAAGAAACCTTTTTTTTATCAAAAACCTAGAAACCTATAAAGTCATGAAACCTTGTTTGGAAAAAATCTGGAAAGCCAAAAATAGGCTTCATGGGCAACTTCCCAGTGAAGCTAATAGTAGGTAGCTTCTAGGAAGTGGCTCTGTCAACGCAGCTCAATCACTGTAGAAGCTCTCCCAAACAGGTTCTTTTATATACATAGTCTAAAAATCAATAAGTCTAAAGTCCAATAAAATGCCTAAATTGACCCCACACTTATATTTTCATTTAACTTTATGAGGGTCAATATGGAAAAGTGGGCTGAAAAGCCTGACATTATACAATAATTTAATGCTTCTTTTTGAACTTCAGTGGGGTCAATCCACCCCACTCAAATGCATATAGCTTTGCCATTGTGCTTTGTAATAAATCAGTGACCCAAGCCCGTCGCTGAAAACCAGCTTTTTTTAACTTCAGTGGGGTCAATCCACCCCACTCAAATGCATATAGCTCCACCCCTTTGCTGTGTAATAAATCAGTGACCCAGGTCCGTTGTTGAAAACTGGATGGGTTGTTAAAACCTGGCTAGTTTTCAATGGTTCTCATGGGTTTCTGGTGATTCAGCCATTTTTTTCAGAAATTTGAAAAACTGGAACCGAAACCACTTTCCAACTTTCACGGTTCAGCCATCCGGTCTGGTTCCAGTCTTACAACATTGTTATCAGGATTCATAGATCTTAAGGCCAATGGTTTTAGATATACTTTTCCTATGTAATTTGGCATCTTTTTATTATTCATTCCAAAAGAATAAGAGGGAAGGCAGGTGTTTTTATTTCTTCTTTTCTCTCTCCTCAGAAATATCTTCCTCTTGAAAAATAAAAGTCAGAATTTATTATGTTTTTGTGAAAGAGGTGAAGGAATTTATTGCAAAATAAGGAGAAATTATAAGTTTATAACTACTTTAGCAAACAATAATGGCTAACATCATGTAGCAGCATGTTGCAATTCATTTTACTAAGTCCTACCATGTTCACTTGACTACAAATGAAGTCAAATAGAAGCATAATGTTCTACCAATAGCCCATCTTAACTCCGTATGATTGAATTCAACATAGAAATGAGCAGGCTAATTCAAGAGAAAGTAAACCAAAGAAGGGAAGATGAAACACAATTACCTCCTCATCAAATGATGCATCCAAGCACATTATGCGTGCCCCAAAACATGATGTGAATTCTGCAACCAGAGATGCTTCGTAATTCTGTATAGATCTATTAGTACAAGATTGCAAGGGATCAAAGATTCTCCACAGTTTCAAAATCCCTCTAGGATCAGCAGTGAAAATATGGCTGCATAATAGAAACACTAGAGATTAATGAAAAGATAATAGCCCACCATAAAAGGAAATGTTTAGATACCTCTCAAGTATACAATAAAGAATGTGCCTGCCTTTGGAATGATAGAAAACGTTGTCCACATGCACAGAAGGACCCATCATTAGGGGTTATTAGGAAAATATGAATGTCCTCCAATTAAAAAACGAAGGACACCCAAGTTCAAAACAATACTGCCTCAAGACATCAAAGGAAAAAGGACAAGATCAAAACACGTAAGGGGTCTAAAAACCAGGGATTATTATGAGTTCAATATGACTTTGGCTCAAATATACACAATAAAAAGGCATGACCACATGTATGACATACACAAATGACATCAATCATATCTCTTGCAATGCCATACCTACCTTCTTATGGTATGAGAAGGAGGTAGCAAGTGAATGTTTGAGGGATCCCATGAAGATTTTCAATGCAAAGTGAAACAATTGGATGGCCATAAGGTCCATAGCCACCTAATGCTTCTGGACAGGAATAAATTTAACAGTAATTGTGAAGCACCATTTACAGAAGTTCTAGATTGGAATTGGATGGCTACCAAACAATAGCCATCAATTAAGCCAACTTCCTTTTTCTAACATCCCCAAGTTGGCAGGGCATGCACAATAGGTCCTACTCCACCTGTACCACCAGGACATTGATAAACCATCCTTATGGTCTATACCCAATGAGTGATTCAGATATGCCCATAAACAAGGAGTATGAAATTTTATTACCTACACCCCAATGACTTGCACCAATAAATTCCCAAGAGTTGTCTCTCTAATCCTGCTGTCCATGTAAAGGATGGGCCACTATCAGTGCATACACCATCAGAAACCCTAACAACTGTCGCATTTCCTTTACCATCTCCAACTGCAATCCAATCCTCATCATCTCTTGAGAAATCTGATGAGCTTATAGATAATAAATCCATACAGACAATTGGAACTTCTTCAGAGACTCGGACAAGCTCAGTCCATTTTACATCTCCAGGGTCAGATATATTAACATGGTACAAAAGTCCATGGTTAGTGGCAATATAAAGGGTATCCTCTCGTGTGAATCGCAAGCAACGTACATATTCACTTTTGCTGTGACAAGTACCAGCCATGAAACAGAATCAGTGGTTAATAATGAAACCTTCAAGAAACTGTGTTGTGTGCATCATAGTTCAAGGAAACCAAATTAAAGTTTCTATTGGTTAAAATTAAATTGCACACCTATGAGATATCCCAGCATTTTTTTAAACCCTTTTGAAGGTAAAGTACAATGCTATAACCAAGTAATATATCCAAATGAATGATCCTACACTACACTCCAGTTAGGGTGCAATGCGTTGTTTCTGGAGAATGCCCTAGTATGAGCACAGAAAGACAAAAAATTGTTATGATCATCCTTCTAATTTTGTTGGCGTTGAGATGGGGTGGCAGGTGGTCTTGGTTTGGTTATATATCGGGTGGTAGCAGCTGCAGGTAATGTTCTTGGGGTGATTCATTCCTTTTTTTGGCTTTGTATGTGTCAAGCGATTGGGAGAATATATGATCCAGCATTTAGCAGTTGGGCTTTCTTTTTGTATAGGGGTTCAGTCTAGTCCTGGGAACCTAGTTTTTATTTATTTATTTATTTATTTGTGAGAACCTATAGCTTCTTTTCATTTCTCTCTTACTTTTGTTTTCTTGTTTACATTTTGTTTTAAATTTTAATGAAATCTTGTTCCCTATAAAAAAGCAATCATAATCATCTGGCAACCCCTTTTTATCATCTGATAGATTAATGTTTCTGTGAAATGGGTAGCATGGATTTTCATCCCTCTAAACGAATATGGAGCCAATATATCCTCTAAAAATGAACACAATAGTCTTTTTTTCACTTCAGAAATTAAAATAAAATTTTTGTACCAGAAAAAAAAAATGGACAGCTTTAGAACAGAGTTACCTGTCCATGAGTCCAAGCTTTTCCGACAATTTTGGGGTACAAATAGTAAAGACATTGGTCATGTCTCTAAACTCCTTGACTTTCCACGTCTGTTCCACTGAGCTCCTGGACAAGGAAGTATGAACTTGGTGTACTTTGATTGCAGAATCAAAGCCAGCAGTAACAAGCAGAGAAGAGTCTTCATCATACAAACATCGCCATATGCCCCTTCCTCTGTACAATTTCAAAAAGATAACAACATATCAAGTAAGCAAGATGTTCTATAGCATTTAAGAATTAAATTTTGAAAAACTAAAATAAATTTTTGATTGATTTTAGAAAGCTAAAATATCAGAACTATTCAAATATATTACTAACAATATAGCTTTCCCCATCATGCTGAAACTTGGGGATTGAGCAACAAAGTCACCCATACCTTAACATCTGTAGGGAACACTGATGTGGGCCCCACAGCAGTGGTCCCCACTGTGTTCGTAGGACAGCATGTGTAGTTATTTGTTTCAGTATAGTAGTGTCAGTTTGAGTCAGTTTGTTAATTCAGTTGTTATTTATTCAGTTTTTATTTACTTTATTTATCATGTAAGTACTAAGGGCAGATGTGTCCTTTCCATTATGTACTGAACATAACCTATAAATAATAAGAGAGTGGCGGCGGCAGATCTGTTAGAATCTGTCCCTCCTTTCAATCCCTTGTGTTCTCCTGTTTCTCTTCTATTCCTTCTCCTTTCTCTCACTTTTCTTCTGTTTTGTAAACCTAAAACCTATTAGGATTCAAGACTGATTACAGTCTTCATCTTCTACTACATCTAAAAATATCATCCACAGTCCCATATCAGTGTTACCATGACAGTTGGAAAACAAAAGTTTCTAATGTTCTAGCCATGCAGAACATAGTACCATGGCATGGCAGTCCTCAGAACATGCTTATGATGCTCTAAACTGATTTCAACAAAAGATGTCAACACTTGGTAGTTGTGACTTCTAGAAGCCACATAAGCAATGATGCCTCCATATGATGTTCTGGCACTTGGCTTTCAAAATTTCCCATCTTTAAATATATTTAGTAATATTTTTGTAATAGATCTATTACATGGTTGTTCCCTAGAATATTTCGCCATTTGGTAAGGTGACACTGCCGGCTGTACTAGATGACAAAAGAAAAAAGAATACTAGAACTAATAAACAGTATATGCTACATATAGGGATGTCATGCATGGCAACAAGAATTTTTTTATATAATAGGGAAACTTTTCACTGAAGGAAAAAAGGAATTATAAGACCAAGTGAAGAGATTTCACTAACAAGAACGAAAGAAGGAAAAAAGTAAACAACAAGAACTCTACAAACTAATAACTGAACATCCATACAACTAAACATGCTTCAATTCACCACTGCACTCATCAAAAGATCTTGGATTGTATCTGGTTGACTCTCTTTGCATGAATTCAAGGACCATCCAATCTCTTCAGCATTTTTTTTATGGGAAGCGGTAACTTTCATTAATATAATGGATAAAAATTACAACTGCCACCATCCAAGGGCCAGATGGAGAACCCTTTGATACAAACTGTCTCATAAACAGGCCCAAAACAACTCTTGCCTATTGACTCCTTGCTTTGCTAAAGCATCAGCCATACCATTATCTGATCTTCTTGCCCAAATAAACCTCACCCCAATCTCCCTTGCTAAGCTTGAGATTTCCCTTAGCTGATGTCTGAAAAGCCACGTGCTGAACCAAGAAAATTAGACCCCTTCAGCTGTGAATTCTTTATCTTGACATCCTTTCATCTTGCCAAGCCTTCTTATCACATTAAAATTCCCTAAATACCAAGGTAATCCCAAAACTTCCATGAACCCCTTTCAATTCCAGCCAAAATTCAACACCCTCACCATCCTCAAAAAAAAATTAAAAGAATCCAAACTTGTCCTCTTCAACTTTTCAAACTCACAAAGATAATAAAATACCAACATTTAGCCATATGATGTCCATCATAATTCACACCCTTTAATCCCTTATTAGCAAGTCTAACTTCCCCATTTATAATCCCAAATTGTCCTTCAGCCCCTCCAAAACCAGAGTTCCTTCTTAATTTCCTGATTCTCATATCAAGAGGACATTGGAAAATTAAACTCCACCAGGTCCATCAAATAAATCTGTTGGACCTCCAATTTTCATTTTCCAAGTCCTTTATACCCCTTTATTTATTCATAAAACGATTCCAATTCAAACATGCGGACCCTACTATTCTGAACCAGATGTTTTTACCCCTTTGACTCATGTCTTTATTTTTTGAATCGAAAAACCAAACTACCTCCCTTCCACTCCATCATCTTCTACCTTTTGGGTTTCTACCAAAACCAGATTCTTATCAATGGTCTCTATAATCTCCCTCACTTTATACTTGGATATGGTGGTGACCTTGTGAGTGGTTTTTAATAAGCAAATATCTCCTTCACTAATGACCCTCATCTTGTACAGTTGACCTGCAAAATTTGCAAAGTAATATTTCTCTGATCCAATTAAAGATAAATTTACCCCATGCAGTGCCAAATGCAAAAAAAATATGTATCAGAAGTAATCGGCTGATAGATATTAAGCTTTTCATATAAACCCATCATCTCAGAATAGTACTGCTCAAATGCAAAAAAATTCTGTATGGCTGTACCCTCTCAGAATAAATAGCCAATCTGCCAAGCCTTTTGATAAAATAATTTCTTAATAGAAAAAAGTTACAATGACACCCCCTACTTAAGTAATAAATTGAATAAAAAACAATTCCCCCACCAAGGAACAAAACTGAATAGACAACTTTGCCCCTATAAATCCAATACAAAGCATAAATAAAAGACAGAATAACAGATTAAACTTCTAACAGTAGGCAAACTCCAGGCATCAATTGGAATACACATAACACAAACTAACCACCAAAGAATTCTATCAATCTAGTCAAAGCTCAGGATTGAAAATGATTAATGATTCCAATTGCAGAATAATTTCTGCTTCCTCTCTTTTGGAAGAACACAGAGAAAAATACCCTACCAGCAGTCTAACCTCTACTGGTTGAGAGGCTTGTCATTCCTTTGTTGCCTATTCAGCAACCTCTCTTTTCCAGGAGAGATTATATACACCTACCAACCAATCAAGCCTCTAATAAGTCTAGACATTTCCTTCCCATCTTCCAATACTACAGCTCAACCAGATTTCAAGACTGTTCTCAAGCTGAATAAAGTTCCAACCTGCAAGAGCAACAGAATACATTCTTATTGTTCCAAGCCAATCCAATCAACTAGCATATCCCCTATCCCAATCTTGTGTGGTTGCTATGCTATAGAATTTGGAATATAAGATTGAAAAACCAGAGTATTCTTTTCCATGACAAGCTCATCCATTAGATTGCTCAAACTCTACTTGGCAATTACTGCATGTATGTAGAACTTTTGCAATATTATACCATGTTTATCTTCCAGGCTGGATTGTCAATTACATGAGTCTCACATGACCTAGAATAGTGCATCTGTATCTGAAATTTCAACTTATGAGAAAATGCCACATGTGAATGACATAATTGTGCAAAATAGACAGAACAGTGACATTTTGATAGACCAGTTTCCAACTCCTACACATTTGCACTCTTTCAAATGGATGTAGAATATAAAGTAATAATAAGAATCAGTAATACATATTTGAGCATCGATGTTTCAAAGGTCTACAGTATAAGTGGTTAACAGATATAAAGAACAGGACAGACAAGGTTTTCTAGAATGATTAGTAGAACCACATGGGTATGCAGTATGTGTCATGCCATGTACGCATACCCCTCTAGAATAAAAATAGTCATTACCAGACAGAGTTCAACCATTAAGTGCCATACTTATGGAACAAAAGTTATGTGAGCAGCAAAGACAGCAAATTTCCTGAATTTTAACAACATGGAACTTAGATTCACAACTTACGTATGTTCCTTGATCACCTTAAGTTGGCTCCCATCTATTCCCCACACGCGGCAGCTACAATCCTCACCAGCAGTGACAATTAACTAAAAGGGACATCATATGAAAAGACAAGTCATTTTCAGAAGAAGGTATCCATCTGTGACAAAGTAAACAAATGACAGAACTTAAGGCATGAAATAGCAGAAAATTATGCATTAATTCTGAAATCATCTTTGGAAGAATGATGTAAATAGGTTTGTCAATGGGCTGAGCAGACCAGACAGGCCCCAATTGAACTGATCCACTTATATAGGATCTGGGTCGGTATTATGCGTTCCAATTATGATAGGGTTGGAATCCGTTTTGGCCGTTCCAAACCAACATAGATACATACAAGTATTATATTATATACTTATTATATATATATATATATATATATATGTTATATACTTATTTTTCTCTTTCACCATAAAGCATAAACATTTTCCCATGATATACTTGTAATATTATCATATCCTGATGTTCAAATGTGTCATTTTAACAAATAAGTAGGTTTGTTGTCAAACTAGAGGTTAAAAGCATAGCGGACAATTATAATTAGGTCTTATTGGGTGAGATCCTCTCAAGGAATCTTTCAACCTAAAAGCTTAAGTTGTTAGGTCCCTGAATAGGTTTTTATTCTCTAACAGATCCAATAGTCCCAATTACCGGAACAGGTTTTGCACATTTACTTATTAGGCCAGGCCGAGGTCTACCTAACCCAGACTAGACCCAACCAATTGACAGCACTAGATGTAAATCAGTAAGGGTGTATTTGAAATTCTGCACCTGCGATAACCCCTCAACTTGTATGGTAATCCATGCCTCTCAAAATGGTGGAAATTGGATTAACACCAGCTCATAATATGAAGATCTTGTCCTCTATAGAGAAGGCCATTACCCAATCCCAATGTTGGTCCTAGCTATCTGGAGTCATGGGAGGGGTAGACTGGATATAGTCCTAACCTTTGGCATTTTTTTGCACAAAATGGCCTCTCAGACTCAAACCCACATTCTCCACACTTGCCAGTCTGAGGCTTTACCATTACACAAAGTAATGGCCCCTTGAAGATCATATCCTCTATCTACTACACAAATTTATCCAGTGTAAACAACCTGTATGGCTGTATCACAGGTAATAGCACTTCTATTTGGCCATTAAGGCCCCGTATGCTTTTCAGGAAGTTACTTACCCAGGTAAATGCACTTACTTGGGTAAGTGTTTCCCAGAAATACTTACCCGGGTAAGTGCATTTACCCATGTTCTTTTATTTCCCAAGTAAATAAGACAATGACCATTTTAGCCATAAAAAGCCATTATTAAAAGGGGCAATTTTGTCCCATCCAAGTGTTGGCAACTTTCCCCTAGGTGGGAAAGTTACTTACCCAACTAGGAGATGGGTATCACTTACCCAGGTACGTGATACCCAGAGAAAATAAATTTTCCATGGACCCCACATAAATCTGAAAAAGAACATAGGTATCTTGGTCAATGGGAACCAAAATCTCATTGACCAACTTTCCCCCCTCTCAAAATCCAAAAAACGAACAGGCCCTAAAATTTAAAAAGCAACTGGTCCAGGTGTCCAGCATCAGAACAGGTCACAACCATCCTCATCACAAAAAATTCCAAGCCCATCTTGCACTAAAGCACAACGAAAGTTGTTGTAAAACATTGGAGTTGCATTTAGAATAAAGTTTCAGTTTACTGCCACAGAGCCCCCTGTAGTTGAGGTCAGTCATAACTCCACAGCATAGAGGAAATTGCCAATTCATTACCACTAAAGAGTAACATTAAACAAACTACAAAGAAAGGGTAAATATACACTGGGTACAGAGGCAAGGAAAAAAATAAAAAGACCCCTTAATTCGTCCACCCAAAGAAAGACCTATAATTCAAGGATATACAAAAGATTCAACCACCCAACACCCCCCACCCCAAGAAAAAAAAAAGTGCTGCAGAGCAGTAGAAGGCGCATACCACCTACCCCACTCTACACAAAAGGACCCATCTTTTTTTTTGATAAATAACACAAAAGGACCCACCTTACCCAACAAGAGTCCAGATCTTCTGGCCACGTTCACCCAGCCACACATTGGGAATATCAGTGATATAAAGTACAAGAGATGTTCCCAATGTGTGGCTGGGTGAACATGGCCAGCAATGTGTTGTGGTCAGCAGATCCAAACTCACCCAACAAACACTGAGCAACAACCAAAATTCCACTATGGGTAATTATATGTATGCAAAACATAATATGGTCATTACCAACAGCTTCTTTCTTCATTGACAACAACAGAAAGCAACATGTTTACTAATAATTTATCACCTATTTACAGCTGTGCAAATCAACATGTATCAACACTCAGTTAACATGGAAAAGGTTTCCTTGTTCAAAATTATAGCTCAATTTATTTTTAAGAAAAATGGAGGGAAATGCACATTTACCTCCAATCCAGTTGCATCATTTTGTTCAACATTTTACTAGGTATAGCATGAAGAATATTACTTTTTTTTAAGAGTAAATTTCATTTAAAACCAAGGGAAAAGGAACATACATGAGAGGATGTACAGTCAAGACAAAAGGAAAAAAAGAAAAAAAAAAATACAGCCCAACCAAAATTTACATGGTCAAAGTGTTTCTGCTTTACAAATATGCCCTTCCTTACCTGCCTCAGTTGATCCATTGGCCATATAATTTAATTCCCTTGCAATCCATCTAATCTAGCTATTCAGCTAGTAGAGATTTTTCTAATACCACTGTGAAAATAAGATCATTTCCAAGGACCATTGCCTGTACATCGAAACCATAAAATAACATTTCTTGAGTCTCCTTAACTAGAAGGAAGTCATTTGGATACCCACAGGCAGAACTGCTTCTGTAAATCAGCATGTCCTATTGGCTCACTGTAAGCTCAACGATTTCACCTTCTGACTTGAAGATGATTCCACCAATACCTGCTGCACTTATGGAACTTGGTATCCCCATGCAGCTACCATCAAACTGAAGTTTGAATTAATGTGAGGACAGGGATTAATGGTTGATCCTGTGTGGGGCACAAAATGTAAAGATTGGAGGATCTCCAAAAGGTCTCCAATGAGGTTCCTGTAACCATAATTGATACCTTCTAAAATTTTGCAGGCCAGCATGATTAGGCGCTATTTGGATAGAGTTTACATGTGGGACCACCAATTTACTTAAACTAAGTGAAAGAATTGCTCAGGACTTTCCAAAAAGAACTCATCAAATAAATATTATACTAACTCCAGAACACATGGGACCCACATATGGGATAAACAAGTAGGGCCCACGTACAGACACATTTTCCAGTTGTAATTTACCCACTGCAGACAAACAGAGACAAATACCAAATGGATAATAAGTGAACCTCAATCTTACTCATTAAATTACTCCTTAATAATTTACCTAGGTAGAATCATATGGAGCTTATATGTTTGCAAATTTACCATCTTTGCTTTGGACCATATGCCCTAAATGTGAGAAGCATTTGATGCTAACCCAATCTCTGCATATATGAAATGAAAAGCATCCATTGATATCATGGTGAAGGAATGCCTGATTTTGATTTTTTGCACAAGAGAAAAGCATGTATATATGCAGACAAATTATGGCAAAAGAAAAAAAAAAAAGAAAAGAACGGAAAAAGATATCACCATATAATTTTATGCAACTTTACCAGCTTATTTTCAAGAAATCTTCAAAAAGAATAATGAACACTCAAATTTCAACAATGTTGGGAAATATATAGACAAATTAGAAGTATAGTTGAAAAAATACTTTCAATTTCCAATGGAGATCAAAGCTTACAGAATCAGAGATATGGCAATCCCAAACCCTTGCATTGTGGCCAAATAGTGAGAGATCAGTAGAAGTGGGATCTCCAACCCCCCTTGTACCAGTGGAATCTTTTCTCTCAGCATTAAGTGTCCAGACACGAGCACTGCAGCATTTAAGAAAAGCAAAACAACATTACATAGAACAAGCTCTGGCTTTCTTTAAAATTTATAAAAAAAATAAATAAATAACAAAAACACAAATAGCCAAGCAGATTATCCACCTACGATCATCAGAAACAGATATCAGTTTTGATCCATCAGAGGACCATGCTATGTGGAAGATTGAACCTTCATGTCCAGTGAGTCTATGCAAATAAATAGCTTCATATTGTCGATCATGAAGCTGGACATTATTGCAGAAAGAACCACATAAACCATTGGGATCTTTTATTGACCTTCTTGATGGTGGTACATTGTTCTGAGGAACCACCTTCCAAACAATAATCTGCCAAATGCAGTTCAGCTTCAATAAATCATATAGTTAAAATAATCAAAATTGGAAGTTCAATGCAACAGATCCTGGTTTAACACTAGGATATATTACACAAGCAACTGTAAATGCAAAACAGAAACAACATTATGAGTAAATATGGCAATGGTTAGTAATATGATTAAAAATAAAGACAATGTAAAATAGCACCAGGTAGATTGCAAAACAGTACATAAATGGCATAGACACAGATTTCGTGCAGTGGTGGGTGTTTTACATGGCCTCACCCAGCAGGCTCAAATTCATGCCTCTAACTAACAGGTTAATTCTATTTTTCTCATAAGTTTTATTACTCTTGATTAATGAAATCATTTTCAGTTATCAAAAAAAAAATTCTATTTTTCTCATAAGAATAAAGATGAGAATGCTCCACCCACCCTAAGAAGAAAAGGAGAAATTGAATGATAAACATGAATAATACCATCCATCCCATTAGACTTTTGCTGTGTAGCCATTCTTAGCGGACTCACAAAATGTTGTATACCAGTCCCTGCTTGTCATCCAAACAGACCACCAAGGTTCTGGTATAGATTCTATTCTGAAAGCATATCAATTTGTTATATCACAAACAAATCTGGTCTCTCATTCCTAATAGCACTTCACTACCAAAATCCTACTTCCAACAACTGGTTGTTGGTCCCTTGGGGCTGCAAACAGGTTGGATCGAATCAGATATAGGCATATCCAAATTTGATTCATTTATATTTGGATCCGAATCCGAATTTGAATCCAATCCATTTAGGTCCTTGGTGATGGGGACCTTGACAGAAATCTCTTGGAGATCATATACTTCTCACCCAATGTTCCTTGTCTCAGACCCACACTCATACCCATTCCAAAGGCAGCCTTCATTCTGCAGTTTGATGGTAGTTTCAGAAGAATTCCTGATCAGCCCTTGGTTGTAAGGATTGAGGGTGCTGTTTTGACCTTTGAGGGGTCTCTAGTTTGAGCCTACAGTGAACCAATTATTGCTACAACTGCTTCAGAAGCAGAGGTTCCTGCTGTTCTTCAGGGCTTAATTATTGCCAAGTCCACTCAGATCAGTTCAATCATGGTGGAAAGTGAACCTAAGAACAAATTTGGGTGGATATCTAGAGCAGAGTCTTGTCCATGGAGGCTTGCTAACCTTCTAAATGAGATAAAAGAGGTTCCCGCAACTCAGCATTCTACTTTCAGATGGATCTCTAAGGAATTGAACCAATCTGCAGATTATTTAGCCAAATCTGGATCAGGAAGGGAATTTTTGTATAGCGCTAGCTCTTTGCCTTTGTAATTCTTGGGTGGGCTCTTTTTTTTCTTATTTGCCTTTTAGAGCCTGGGCTACTTTTGTACATCCTTCACTTGTTGAATAAAAGTAAACATTTTCTAAAAATTGGAAATGAGGTTCAACTCTTTTACCAAAAAGGCTGATTTGAGTGAATAAGGAAAAATGAAGTTTTTTTTATAGTAACGTAAAAGAAAGATTTATTAAGAAAAACCACAAATTACATCAAGGTGTAGAGGTTACACCATCAGGCATTACAAAAAGCTAATCCGGATTACATTCTTGGATCTCAAGAGCATTCCAAAAGGAGGACCCAAAATCTGATACAGAGTTTTGAGCAAAATCTGAAAGGATGAGCACCCAGCCATAGATAGCCCTTCCAATAGACTCCACCACCTTCTCTAACTCTTGTTGACTATCCTCCAATACTCTTCTGTTTCTTTCTCTCCAAATTGACCAACACACAGCAAAAGGAATACAGCTCCACACAATTCTGGATTTTTTGCTGCCCTTGTAGGAAGGCCATTTGGAAAAGATTCCCGCCGGAGACTCAGGGAGGAACAGCTGCATGCCAAACAAATGAAGTACTGTTTCCTCACTTTCTTTGCACATATGGCAAATGTTTGCCATGTGAAAGCCTCTTGACTTCAGATGGTTAGTAGTAAGAACACTATCCATAGCCACCAACCACGCAGATGCCTCCACCCTAGGTGGAACAGGATTACCCCACACACCCTTACAACTCTCTTCCCCCAGCTGGTTTTTAATCAGAGCTAGATAGAAGGTGAAAACTTCTAAGTTTGCAGAAATACAGAGAAGGTGAAAACTCCAATAGGAACCAAAGGAAGAGATAGGTCACCTCATTATATATAGTACCACATGCCACATGAAGAGCATCTAGCTTGCTGCCCCATAAACGCATTGAATACAGAAGGCACCTCTCTACAATTGAAAAACAATTCAAATGTCAGAAGAAGATAATATAGCAAAAAAGAGAACATTAGGTAAGCTTTTATTTAAGCCTGGAAATATTTCAGGAGGTAAAAAACCAAATTGAAACTCAATGCTTATTTAACAAAGAAACACATTTTCTGAAAATTGGCTGAAGGATAGGGCTATCAATGAATCACATTTTCTGAAGATTGATCCATTTACATAAACAGATCAGATCCAGATTTTAAAATTGCATCCATTTTTTATCAATAACTGAAATAATTTCAATAAATTAAAAGCAAGGAAGTACAGGATGAAGATAGGGAAAGATAAACTCTCTTAGCTCTCCCTTAATCAAAAAGGAATTTGATGAAAGTAGTAAGAAATGATTTAAGCACCCAAAATTTGATGATGGATATGGCACTGAACAGAATGAAATGGAAAAGCAGGACACATGTAGATGACCACATATAGTTAAGACCAAGGTTCAAATTTTCATCACATATTGGGGTGTATCGGATAGTATCATACCAGCCCCACCCTAATACGTGAAATATTAAATATTTTAAAATTTTAATGTTTTCAGGGGGTAGGCCTTGCTAAGACCACCCCACCCTCCCCCTGTAAAATTTATAAAAAAAAGACTAAAAGGAAGCACACACATTGGTCAACCCCCCGATACACACACTTCAGCGTATTGGGGTGTATTGATATTTTGGACCTTGGTTAGGACAAGGCTTAGATGATGGTCATGATAATATTATAAAGATGGTGAAACAGACTCAGTTTAATCTGAACATCTGATAGGATCTGAAACCTTAGACAAGATCCGATTTCAGATCAAATTTGGATTTAGATTTTCATTAATTGGATCAGACTTGGATGTAGTTGAATCCAATCAAATCCGACCCATTTATAGTCTACTGACAGGCATGCTATGAGTGGAAATGTTACAAAGAAACTGTCTCAAACAACTCATATGTCATATCTGTGTCACTTCCCTTGTTACACGGCTCGAAACTCATTATTGTTTTAATAGTACTATGAGAAAGACCTTACATCCAAATATTTTAAGTAGAAGTTTGGCTCCCATTTATGGACACAAATTATTTGCATTAGGAAGTAAAAGGGAATTCTACATTCTACCCTTTGCAGACTCAGTGCCTGGTTTTTCAGCTTTATTTGTGATGCTGGACCTTAAACAATTGGAACAAAGAAAAATAGATTCTTGTTTAAGACTCTGTGGAACAAACCTGGACATTTTACTTCAAGGACCACATTGGAATTTGCAATATCCCATATACAGATAGAATTGTCACCGAGTCCTATAGCAAGATGACTGTCACCACCATGCTGAGAAAGCATACTGTCCTACTAACAACCCACCACCAATAAAGAACAAAATATTATGGAAAAGGAATGTAATCAGAGTATATAATTAAATAACAACCAAAAAGGGGAAAGGCAGTATTAAAAATTTTGTACCTTCAAGAAGCAAATGTCCAAAATCCAGTGACTAAATTTTGGCATTACATGAATTAAAATCAATTCTGACTGGCATTGTTCTACTGATGCTATCTGAATGAACAAGTTAAATAGTTTAATCCTCTTCTCTCCAAATACAGCAATATTGAAAGCAAGTCTTGAGGATGGCCCATCTTCTGTAGAATCATGAATGCTACAGGAAATTCCATGCACACGGATACCTTCAAATACATTAAATGAATTCAATAGCTTTCCTGCTTCCATACTATATAGCAGTATTTGCGACCCAGTTCCTGTTTGCACGGATCAAGACCATGAGAAAGTAGTAGAAGCTTTGAATATCAAAAGGTTAAAGTTTGGAAAACTTTCTATTTTAAAATGATTTCAGAAACTCAAAACTCAAATAAATTGGGCACAACGAGAAACGGTTTCATAAAACTCAACTTTGCTGGAAGCAGCAAGGGAAATCCAAGGCCTTTGGGAGTGGGAGGTATCATTACTCATTAGGAATAAAGATGGTCAAGTTGTTGCTATTTTTTCTGGCCCAATTGGAGTGACTCTCTAAAGGAAGAAATATTAGCGGTGTGCAGAGGGAAAAAGATCTCAACTGGAATAAATTAATCATTGGAGGTAATTCAAAGGTGGTGATAATGTGGTTGCTGAATAATGAGGGAGTTGTGTGGAACTATGGGAATGAAATTAAAAGGTTTAGATGGTTGATCAGAAACTTTCAATAACTTCAATGGGTACAACGATCAGCTAACTCTTTGGATGATGAATTAAAAAAACAAAAAACAAGGGGTGGGCAGAAATCAGATGTTGTTGGATGAAGTGTAAATTAAATAGTATGGGAAAGGTGGTAGTAACCACCTGATGTAATGGCTGTATGTACATCTTGTACATCTTTTTCATAATTAATAGAACTTTATGGTTACCTATCCAAAAAAAAATATGATTAAGGAGCTTAAAGAAAAACAGGTTAAGACAAGATTTAGAACAATGATAGATGGTTGGATTAATATATGCAGTAGGACACTGGTCAAATTCTTGGTCAAAAAGTTGCCTGTTGAGACTTTTTGAGTTTATTGGTTCAGTTGTTGAGTGGTCCAAGCATATGTTAATGTTGGAAAAATGTTGATGGAAAAGAGAATTAAATTATTTAAGTCATCTTGTTCAACCCATTGTCTTGGTTTAATGCTTGATATATGCTAAGGGACATGAATTGCTACAACCAACTATTATAGATTTGATACTTGCTTCTTGACAATGAAGAGTTTTCTTACAAATTAGCTTCTAGTATAACCATGTTTTCTTCTAAAGAATGACAAAGAAGTATGATAGAGCAAAAGTCAAGTATATTGTTTTGGATAATGATAGATTTTAGAAAGAAATCAAATAGTTTTTATCAATATATCAATGTTAACTAAGGTCCTTTGCTTGGTTGATTATGAGGAAAAACCCCCATGGGGAATTTATGAAACAATGAATAAAGCAAAAGAAGCCATGTCATTGCCAAAACAACCGGACAATGTAAAGATGAAATATATGCCAGATTGGAAGATAATTGATGTTCATTTGGATCAAGAGTTGTCAATGGACTCTGAAAGTTCAATACCAGTTCTGAGATCTAATCCAATTAAATTCCAAGTCCGAATAAATTTTATGTAATATTAAAATATATATGTATACATATAAAGTTTAATAATTAATAAATTCAGTGTTTCATATTTAGAGAAGACCATCTACAGCACCCATAAGAAGTGATGTGTTACAAGTTGAAGGGGGTAGAAGTAGAGCTGTAAAACGGGTCGTGCTGAACCGACACGGCCCATTTGTGGCCCGCGCAAAGTGTGGGCCGTGTGGTGCCAACCCGCAGGCCATGCCTCCCTCCCCTGGGATATTTTGGGGGGTTGGCCTGGCATGGCCCATGGCCTGAGTCCACGCGGGCCTGTGCCATGCTGCAGGTCTGGGCCAGGCGGGTTGCAAGCTGTGTTGTGGACTTGGGCTGGGCCTTGGGCCTGGGTCGAACCGGACCAGAAAGGCCCAAACCTTTTTTGTTGTTTTTTTTGACATTTTGATTTTTTTAAGTTTTTGCTAAGTAAAACTAAAATGCTTGATTTTCCTTTGGAAACAAATTGAAAAAAAAAAAATCTAACAAATAAATGAAAAAAAATACTTTTCAGAATACAAAATGGACAACAAATTGGGAAAAATAGAAATTTTATTTCATTTAAAATATAAAAATTACATTGTTGAAAAAATAACAAATAATTTAAATAAAATTTAAAAAACTACTCCATTTCCTTGACTTCAATCATCTGCTTCATCAGGTGTAGTAGTGCTATGCCCTTCTTTGTCTTGTAATTTATCCTCAACATCCAGCAAATCTTTAAAGTAGATATCTTTTTCTTGTTTCTCATGGAAGAGAAAATGTCTGCCCAAGTGGCCAATACCACCCTTGCTACTAAAGCTAAAGTCAATCCTACATTTTTGGCAAACGGCTCTTTTTCCCTTCCCCTCAACCTCCTCTATTTTAAATACTTTCCAAATCGAGCTAGGGAACTTACTATTGGGGAATTGGTTTCAGGAGGAGTCGGCCTTTTTTTAATTCTAAAAAACTAAAAATTAATTTAATTGCACTTACCCAGATGGTTGTGGTTGGATTACTAGTTCAGAATCTCAACTTGATTTTAACAGTTGAAGCCTCAAAAGACCAGAGCCTCTTAAATTGCTAAGTGTATGACACTATGATAGTATGAGATGAGAGGTTAAGAGAGTATGAGATAATGAGAATAAAGAATTGAGAAGAGAATTCAGAATTGTTAAATTGGTGTGATGAGAATGGTGGAGGATAGGGCTATTTATAGGAATTGAAAATAATTCATTTGCCCAAAATACCCTAAAAACTAGTTGTTTTTTAATTGTTGGGAGGGGTATTTATTATAAAGTCATTTATCACTTTACCCAAATGCCCCCAAAGTCCCAAAGTAGTTGTATAGGATATAGTTGTTGGAGAGGCATTATTGTCTTTTTTCTTCCCCCTAAAGCCAAAATACCCCCTATAAAGCTATTTATAGGCTTATAGTTGTTGATTGAGGGGTATTTCTATAAAAACCCCTAAAAATATTAAAGTAGCCATTTGGGGGTCCCCCAAGGGCCAGCCCTAATGGCTAGTTTTCTCAAACAGGCTGCACTTGGCCCATTGCGGGCCCACGGATCAGGCCGTTCCGTGTTGTGCTGCAGGCTAGGCCGTGCCGGCACATGGGCGACAGGTGGCACAACACGCACAATTGTGTCGTGCAATGCTGGACCATGGACTTGAAACCCCTGGCCCAGCACGAACCACATGATCATACCGTGCCTGGCACGGCCCACGTGCTGTCGTGCCGTACCAATACAAAACCGTGTTGGGCCGTGGGCAGCACAGCTCAATTTACAACTCTAGGTAGAAGATTTATGGGAAAAATTGAGGTAATAAGAAATGATTTAAGGGATCATAATCTAAAAGTAGATATGGCACTGAACAGAACTATGGCAAAACAGGATTCATGTAGTTGACCCAATATGGTTGGCACAAGGCTTAGATCATGATGATGATGATGATAATGATAAATTTATTCTACAAGTCAAAGAGTAATTGTTCTATATGTATAAGGCTTGATAGTCAGGTTGAACTCAAATGTGGCTGGATCAAATCCAAATCTGACCCAATGACCGCCCTATCTGGAACTTAAATTACATATGCCTCTACATGTGGTGGGTTATTTATTGAACCCATACATTCAATATGATCACAATTTCAAGGCTAACATTTAAGTAAAAAAAGGACTGACTGTTGGACTGTTTTGAGAGTATGGTGCTATCTTCAAAAGATAAGGTGAGGAATGTGAGCAAATGGCCTCGTTCAAAAGAGGAGGCTTATTGGATGGGGTACAACAAAGATAACAAGTTATTCATCAAAAAAACAAAGATAACAAGGAAAACGAAACAGCTCGGTAACCAATTATTAATTTTAAATCCTAATTTTTTCTTTGATATTTAAGTTGTTATATTAAATTGATTTGCCCATCATTACAAGTACACATTGCACTATACCTTTTAGCGGGATACCTATAGGGATGGTGTTCTAAATTTTCAGAGCTATTCAATATGGATATTAAGCCTCACATGTAGCTCTTCTTGATATGAGCGTAACTGGAGCATATTTTAATTATGTTTTTTAATCTTGATTTACAAAATGTTAACTACGAAAGTAGGGACATAGTAATTGATAGAAATATATACTTGTAATTAGATACACTCAAAGAAAAGGAATAGGTTGAAGAAAAAGAGGTTTAACAATCTTGTCTGTGTCCAATACAGCTTACAACTCAAGCAATGACATAAGAAAAGAATGAATAAGACATATGGTCTGATATGTTTATGGAGTTTGATGATAAATGGACCATAGAGAGGAATATCCAGTTTTTCCTGAGGATGCAGCATGACTTGATCTAAATGAGTGCTTCCAATATGTTGAAGGTTTAGGCATCAAAAAAAAATCTGAAGAAACAGCAGTGTATGTTAGGAGTCCCCTTTTATTTCATTAATGTTTTAATTAAGTAGTTAATTTAGAAAATAACTTGTTTTACCTCTTAAAGAGGAATACGACAATACATTTCCATATCATCATCAAAGAGTGAAGGAGAAGAAGATTTTCCCCTTGAAATTAAAAAATAATAATAATAATGAGAATGACTTTGGGTGAAGAAGAAGACTTGAGTGAGTCTTGGTGTTTACCACTTTGCATTTTGATTTGTATACATGAGCTTGTCCATATTTCAGGTTAGACATTGAGCAATATAATTTTTTTATGATCAAGAATGGAAATTTGCATTAAAAAATAGAGTATCCAAAAGGACACACAGAAACTGTACAAGCAGCATATGCTGTCAATAAGCAGAAACCATTTAAGACAGATTTACATCAATGCCAGGCCCTAGAATTCCCTACAAAAAATTGTTCCCTATTCACTCCAGATTTAACTAAAGCATCAACTACAGAGTTAGTTGAAAAAGGGATCCATCTGAACAAACAACTCAGATTGGATGCCAAAGAATGGCTCCTCTGATCATCTGCAGCAGCCCCCAAGGCTCCTCATCTTAGTTCTCCAGGTACCCCAGGACCACCTTACAGCCTCCTTCAATCATCAGATCTGACCATCCTTGAGATTGCGCTAAGTTTAATCCTTTTATAAGTGCAATGATCTCAGCCTTTAAAGAGTTCTCTACACCAATTAGTCCTACAAAGCTCATTATAAGATTCCCCAGATGGTCTCTTACCACACCTCCTATACCCGATGGACCCAGGTTGCCAACAGTGCACCTATCAAAGTTGAATTTCAGTTTCATGGGCATTGAACAATATACAGAACTCATGACTAATCTTTTTTAGGTCAGAATTTATTTTTGTAAAGCTTAGGTTGGTCATGGGCATTGAGCAATATACAGAATTCATGGCTACTTTTTTTAGGTCATTAGTTTTTTCAAGCTTAGGTTGATTTTTTGGGTCATTAGTAATGATTTTTTTATCTATGACTTCACATTATGATACATGATATGAATAAGAAAACTGAATTTGGCAACGACATCATTTTTCTTGATTTGGCACAGACATGTAGAGTGGAAATGCTCATTACTTTATTATTACTTAATGATTATCCGTGAAACTCATTGTATAATTGATTATTCTATTTTTAATTTTATGTCTTTTATAATATTTTAATAATTCATTCAAAGACTTAGATTGAATCTTATGATTTACGGTTTGAATCCTGATTCGATTTAAATCCTACCCCTTAGGACTTTCCAATTCAGATCTGCTTTGAAGAAACTGCTTGGTAGAATCCTAAATTTGACAAAACTTCAAGTCTTCAACTAAATTGTAGCACGGCTACATAAAGAAAAGGAGACCTTCATTGACATGATCTATCCACTAGACCACCACCAGTTATTTGTCAAAATGTTTCTTCATGTTTTTTATACAATATACAGTATTTTCTTTCACTTTATGGTTAGCAGACCAGTTTGAGGCAAATATTTTATAGTGATTTTTTCCACTCTTTTTTTATTTTTTTCCTTGCCTAAAGTTCTGACCTTCTGATTAACCTCACAGTATTTTCAAAACAGCAGAACTCTCTCTCATAGAATATACCGTCAACCAGTTTGCAGCAATGACACAAACCATTTACCTAGCCAATGTTCTTGATATTCTTCAACAACTCAATGCTGTATTCTTGTTATATTTTTTCCCCTCTTTGTCAGCATAGCGTTTGCAACCACATATGTATGTACAGCCATTGTGTAACTAAGCAATTCTCCTTATATCCTCTACATTCCCAACAAATCTTCTGGAGGAAAAAGACAGGATATAAAAAACAGGATAAACATTGTTTTCAATAGCTTAATGTGCCACGACTCCATGACTGTAATGGTACTTTTTCCGATCTAAGCGTTGTCTTATAGTAGTCTGCTCCCTAATTTGAAAATATGAACATGGACCATTTTTTCATAGAAACCAACAACTTCCATTTGAATTTCTTGTTGAAATTAACTATGATTAAATTCTCTTTCACTTCATGAAGTCCAATAATGCTAGCTACCAAGTTCTAGTTCCCAAAAAAGAAAAAATAAAAAATGGTTTGCTCAATTCATTGCGAGATCAATGAGTAGCAAACTCCTGAAAAATGCTGTTGAAGGACGCCAATTTGGTGCCACCATTGATAATAGGGACGGTACCCGGCCCACCTTCTGAAGGCAGAGGAGTTAACTAAAAGCATGGACCACATTTAGCGCGTCCCTTCGTCACTCTTGGTCTGCTTATTACTCGTAGTACTCAAATCACTCCTGATTAAAATTATGTCTTTTATAACCTATAATCATATCACTAGTGTTATGATACACAGATATATTCGTATTTGCATCTCCACAAGTTCCACTCTCGAATTCAGGAGACCATGAGGAAAGGAAGGAAGCATATTAAGGAGAAAAGTAAACGAAAGCAAATCCAGGAAAATAAAAATACTCAGCTAATTCGAAATAAAAATTCCTGCTGCAGTATCAAGTGAAGAGGGGGGGACAGAGGGACTACTGACGGGATAATACTCCTTACCAGCGAGAATAAAAGGAAGGGAACAGAGTTGGGGAGGTAGGTGGAGAAAACAGAGAGCTGAAATCTCTCCCAGGTATTGGCGGCTCTCCAGACGCCATTTACTCAGCTCCTGCTCCGCCATGGCTTCGTCTCCGACTCCGACTCCGTCTCCGTGTCTGTCTGATGTCTCCGCTGTTTTGCGTTTTGAGTTAAATTAGTAGGTTGATTTGCCTTCATAAATCAGACTCTCCCTCTGACTCAGTGGCTCCCAGTATCCCTAATAAGCCCAATTCAAGCCCATGGTGGTTTTTAACAATTGAGAAGCCCAGGCAAGCAGGCGGGCTTAGCCCCCACAGTTATGTTTGGTTTGAAAGAAAATAAAAGAGATACAGAAAATTGATGGAAGACAAAGGAATTTTTTTCAACTTTCTTAATAACTTCCTCTCAACTTTCCATACAAAACCTTAGGCTGCGTTTCTTTCACCAAAAAGACGTAAAATTTTTTAAACTGAAATTTTGCAGGAAATAACTTTAATTTTCACCCCTTAAATTTTGTTTTGTTGTAAATAATGAACCGGGTTCACTTGAAGATCCGATGAAAGAGAGGTTCACGGAGGTATGGGCAAATGTAATTAATCGGATAACATTTTTTTAAGTTAAATTTACCCGAATAAATGCATTTATCTAAATACAAGGCCTAAAAAAGTAGAGGAGCTAGAGACAAATTAAGGACTTGGGTAAAAGTAATAAGAATTAATTTAATAATGAATAAAATACCAAAAAATAGCAATTAACATGGCACTAAACAAAAATGGAATGGCCAAACAAGAATCATATAGCCAACTAATATAGTTAGGAAAAGGTTCAAATGATAATGATAAGTACTGGATGAGATATCCTTATTGTTCTGTACAATATTTCCTGCTTTAGCAAAAGCTCTCTAATTAGGGGTGGATTCGAGTTGAGCGAATTCAACTCGACTTAAAAGCTTATTTGTTCGAGGCTTACAAATTAGACGCCCCCCCAATGCCCCCTAAGATCCTGCTTCAAGAAAACTTGGATCCCCAAACGGAAATTTAATCCATCAACTATGTATGCAAATTGAGGAGAAAGTAAGCTTGGATCTCCTACACTTACGCATTATATTGGGAATTTTTTGGTTTTTCTCTTCTTAATAAATTTTTGTCGCTAAACATTAAAAATTGACTTAGTAAAATTTATAAATACTAACACAACCTATATTAATTCATATTTTAGTTATTGTATCATTTTTCAACATTTATAAATCACAAGGCTTAAAAAACCAATCCAGAATCGGAACCGTTTTGGGTTGATGGTTTATCGTCCAGTTCGAACATATGGCCCATTCCAATGAAACACAAAAAAAAATAATAAATGACCAAAACCATTAAACAGGTTAATGGTTTGACCACTAGACCTGTTCATGGGCTAGGTAGCCCGATGGCCCGGTCCGCACCTCGGTCGGGCTTGGTTATGTAATTAGAGCCGCGGGCTTGACCTCGGGCCTAACACAGTAAGCCCAACTGTGTTTCGGACCAGGCTCGGGATTTGTCAAAAAATCCTAACCCGAGCCCGGCCCAGCCCGACTCAGCATTATAAATTTTATAAAATATATAATATATAAATAATATAATTTTTATTGAAATATATATTTATAATTTAATATATACATTTTTTATTCTTTTCTTTATAATTTCTCTCTCTCTCTCTCTCTCTCTCTCTCTCTCTCTCTCCCTATTCAGTCACTTCAGCAATAGTAACAGTATGGGCTAAATTTCGAGCTCGGGCCCAGGATCGGGCTTCGGGCTTTTTATGAGGGTCGGGCTCGGGCCCAATTTGTAGGCCCGATGGTCGGGTCGAGCTCGAGCTCGGGCCTTAGAAAAATCTGTTAATACAGAGTGAAAGCCCAGCCCGAGACCGGCCCGACCCGGCCCATGAACAGGTCCATTGACCACCCAGGTCAGCCGGTCACTAACCAATTCAATGGTTTTTGGTATGGGTGCATCTTGGGCAGGCCCAGCCTGAGCCCGAACCAGCCCAACCCGGAATTTTACACGGGCTGGGCTTGGATTTTTTGTCCTCATGTTGGGCTCGAGCCCAATAAGTCAGTTTTTATTTTTTTTTTCCAGGGCGAGCTTGGGCGGGCCTAGCCCTTAACTAGCCTGAACCCGACCCGAGCTCGGCCCAATTATATACATTTATACATATATATGTGTATATATGTAAATGTTGCATACATATAGACAGTTTCTGGGCCAAACAGTCCAAAGTATATACAACTTTATATTTACTAATAAAAGTGTACGCATGTTACACATGACAATATCAAATGATGATGATGATAATAATTAGCAACAAAATGACCTTACTGGTTGAACCATTAACCTATTTAACCAGGAAAATGGACTATGACTAATACATTAATTCATTTTTTATTTGTATTTTAGCCATTACTATCTTTACTAACAATAATTCTTATCTTTCAAACATATTTTTGTTTAGTATGAAGAATATATAATATTAATGCATGTTCCAATTTTTCTATAAAATTTATAAAAAATCTATATTTTTATTTATTATTAATTATTATTTAATTTATGAGATAATAAAAATTACTTATTTACCAAGAGGAAATGCAATTCCAATATATTGTTTGAATATTAGTTTTTAGTGTTGTGGTCAAGTCAATTATTTATATATAATATATGTGCTATTTATTATTTATTTATAAATATGTTATTTATACTACATTTTGTAAACTTTTTATATGATGAAAATAGTTGAAAAAATACTTATATTTTTGTTTTTATTTATTTTAACTATTATACTTTCTTTTCCTTTTAATAATTTATTTTTTAAAATTAAATTGGATTGTATCAGATTCGGATATCCAACATCTTGATCAGATTCAGATTCAAATCAATATTTATGAGATTTGATCAGATCTTTGAATCGAATCGAATTCGAATATACCCTGATTCAAATCCGATTTGTTTGCATCCCTACCAAACCATTTGCCTACAATGACCTATCTAATTAAATCATTGGTCCATTGGACATGGTTAGTGAGGTCATGTGTTAGACATTAATTCTTTGTATTTTTTATCATAATTTTTATCCCATTTCTATCATTAATGAAAATAAATCTCATTAATCACACTTTTTTATATGATGAATATATAATATTATATAATGTATCCACAATTATCTACAAATTTATACATTTTCTAAAATTTTATGTATTTTATTATTTAATAATAATATCATGTGTTGATCCATTTAACATGGATAGTTGAACCACTAACCCACCATTTGGATGGAAAAACCATTTTTTCTTTTTTGGTTGATTTTAAATCATGTATTACATTTTCATTATCAATAAAAGTAAACCTTATTTTCGCATTTATTTTTGCACGTGGCAATATCAAATAATGATGATGATAATAATCAGCAATCAAAGGAACTTATTAGTTAAACCATTAACCTATTTAACCAAGAAAATAGACTATGAATAAGACATTTAATTAATTATTTTCTTTGTATTTTAGCCACTTCTATTTTTACTAATAATAATTCTCATTTTTTCAAACATATTTTTGTTTAATACAAAGAATATATAATATTAATGTATGTTTAGATTTTTTATAAAATTTATAAAAAGTTCTATATTTTTATTTTTTATTATTTAATTTATGAGGCAATAAAAATTACTTATCTACCAAGAGGAAATGCAATTCCAATATATTGTTTGAACATTGGTTTTTAATATTGTGGTCAAATCAATTATTTATATATAGTATATATTATTTATATATAATATATATGTTATTTATTATTTATTTATAAATGTGTTATTTATATTGCATTTTTGTAAACTTTTTATATGATGGAAATAGTTGAAAAAATACTTAATTTTTTTGTTTTTTTATTTCAAATGTTATATATTTTTTTTAATAATTTATTACTTAAAAAAATAAATCAGATTGTATCAGATTTGAATATTTGACATCTTGATTGGATTTGGATTCAAATCAATATTTATGAAACCCGGTCGAATCTTTGGATTAGATCATATTTGAATATACCCTAATTCAAATCTGATCTGAAATGGTTAGTCGGGTCATGTGTTAGATATTAATGCTCTTTATTTTTTACCTAATTTTTATCCCACTTCTATCATTAATAAAAATAATTTTCATTAATCACACTTTTTTATATGATGAATATATAATATTATAGAATGTACCCAAAATTATCGAAAAATTTCTACATTCTCTATAATTTTATGTATTTTATTATTTAATAATAAGATCTATTTGACATGGATAGTTTAACCACTAACCCACCACTTTGATTGAAAAACTATTTTGCTTTTTTTTGGTTAATTTTAAATCATGAGTTCCATTTTTATCATCGATAAAAGTAATTGTTATTTTTATATTTTTTTTATTTAATATGGTGAATATATAACAATAGAATTATATCAAAATGCTTTATACAAAGCTTATATTTTTTTGAGTTTATGCATCATAGATTTACCCATTTGACCCGGAAATGGTTTCATTTTCAAAGTTGTTTTAAATTTTGCATTTCATTTATATCATTGATAAAATAATTATTATTTATCATACTTTTTTTTTATAATATTATAGTTGTGCCCAAAATTGTTTCATATTTTTTTGTACTATCCTATTTTAAAAAAATTATTTTTAATTATACATCATGGGTTAGCCTATTTGAACTGAAAGGTTGAATCGCTAACCCACCCCCTAGAAAGGAAGATGGTTTWATTTCCCATTGGTTTTAAGTTGTATATTTGATGTCCATCATTAATAAAATTATGTCTATTTTATCATAGTTATTTTTTAATATGACAAATATATAATAATAGCAATACGTCCATTTTTTTCAAAATGTATTTTTTCTATATTTTTTATATTTTTAAATTTGTATTGTTTATTTATGACATCATGAAATTATCCAGTTGACACGAATGGTTGAAGTACTTACCCACGACCTAAATGGAAAATATGATTTAATTTCTAGATTTATTTTAAAATATAAAACTTCATTCTATTAATAATCATTGTGTATAGATTTATTAGTGGAATTTAATGATGATAAACAAAAGTATTTTTTATATTTCTAAAGTTGTATTATTTATTTATGACATCGTGGAATTATCCATTTGACCCAAATGGCTGAACTAATTACCCACCGCCTAGATGAAAAATATGTTTTCATTTCTATGTTTATTTTAAAAATATAAAATTTCATTCTAATAATAATTATTGTGTATGGATTTATTAGTGGAATTTAATGATGATAAGCAAAAGTATAAATGTTGGATTCAATGAGAGAGAATGTGATTTATTTAATAACTTAAATGTGAGGCTTAATGAGAGATAATTGAATGTACTTAATGGTATTCTTTTAATTACATTTTCTGCCCTTTCAATGGAGATGAACTAAATTCAAGAGGAGGGGTATTTCAATAAAGAAAATTTCCAAAAGCCACTACCTCCTCATTGGCACTTTTATAAGTAGTATAGATAGAGAGTCATCTAAAACTTATATTTAGTACTATTGATACATTTTTGGGCTTTGTTTGAATTTCTTATTGTATTCATGTGTTCTTAATTTTTTTCAATATATTCATACATATTCAAAAGCATATCAATGCATCTGTTAAAACTTCCTTTTATGATACTTTTTTTTTTGTGTTTCCAATACTTTGAGCCTTACTTGTCATATTAAGTATAAATCATATTCTATATTATGAAAATCACACTGCAAATAAATGGAAATCTAAGGCTCAATTTGAAAAGAGTATAAATGCAAATATGTACAATACAAATACATACAAAATAATACAAAATCTTGTATTTTGTATGTATTTGTGTTGTACATATTTGTATTTGTAGTCCTTCCAAACACAGCCTAAAATGCAAAATTTTCAAAGGCAAAAACTTGGGTCTAAGAACACAGGCCAGTTTTTTTTTTGGACATTAGCCATTATTCTATCCAAACCTAATCTGGGTTAGACTCATTAATTAACCATGGCAATATATCTAACACTTTTTTCTGCAATATCTATTACTTTCAAGCTGGTAAAATGGTTGCTTCATTCTCCTATTCTTTTCCAGAATATGTCAACCAGCGATGCTATATACAAAATAAAATCTGAGCCAAATAGAGGGGTTGAGCCAAAAAACCTTACACACATATATATCTACCAAAACTAGGTGACCAATAACTCTTTCCCGGTACGAGCTTAGCCCTTCATTCACGGAAATCATTACTGTTTTAGCTATTTCCGTATGATCTATTACCTATTGCCTTGTCGGCTAAGATTAACTATCATTTATTTTATTATAAAGTGAGTACAAATAATGAGCTTTCATTACCTCCGACTGCACCATTCTGACAAAAGCATCAGGGAAACGGAATCTCAGTATTAGATGGTGTTATTGTTGGTGTGATGGAGATGCAAATTAATACAAGGAGAGTGAATTCGGATTCCTACCGGTCAAACCTACAACCGAAGGTTTTAAAATTGGGAAAATGACCGTTCCAGAATTTAATGGCGTAAATTATAGTTGGGTAGGTGTCAGTTCGGAATTAATGCTAATTTACGGGTGCATATGGGTGTATAAGGTGTGAGTTTTTGAACTTTTGAATGTTTATAGAGTTGTAGCATAGTTCAGAATTCTGTATTAGGGCTGTTCGTACTTCTCCGTTTAAAATTTGGATCGGATACAGAACCGCTTTAGCCACTAGTTTGTAGGTCAAACGGTTTGACTATTCAGTTCAATTGGATAGTTTGTTCTTATTTAAAATAAATAAATAAAATAAAAAAATGATTAAAAACTGTTGTCTGGATCGATGGGTTGATGTTTCAATCACTCGAATTAGTGGGTCATTAACCATATCAACGGTTTTTGGTTCACAGGAGTAGTTTTAGGATGAAACAAAACCAGTTACATGACTGGTTCCTAGGTAAACCCGTATGACCATCTAACCTGGTCTTTAAAACCATGCTACAAGTAGGAGTGATCACGGGTCGTACTTTGCACTTATGATAAGGGCTATAGCTTAGGCCCAGGCTCGGGGTTCTGGGCTTGAAACATAAGCCCTAGCCCAGGTCTACACGGGCCTGAGCCGGGCTGGGCCTGATTTTGGGCCAATGTCTTTCTTATATAAAACATTACATATCTATAACATTTTATATTAAATGACATACCATGCATATAAAATTATTTTATACATTATATAATATAAAATATTACATATAATATAAATTATACATGTCATGCTATAATATTTATATATAAAATATATAATCTAATGTAAAATAACAATTATACATATGCATACATAATACACAAAATGTGTAAATTTAAATATATGCAGGCTGGGGCTTAAAGTATTAAGACCAAGCCCGGACCTAAAATTTGCGGGCCTGATATGGGCCCGGGCTGAAATGATCACCCCTTGCTACAAGCCATCCATTCATCTATCTATTTATTTACTAAAACAAAGTAGTCAAGAAATTTTCTCCTTTTTTTGAATTTATTATTATTTTTATTCCATGTCATTTTTTAAAGAACCAATGAGATGCACTTTCCCAATAACCTAAATAATCTATTCTCCTAAAATTTCTCCTAAACTACCTTCCCCACTTTCTCCAAAATTATATCTAATTCCTATTTATCTTCTAAATTAACTCTAATTCCTATTTATCTCCAAAATTATCTCTAATTTAGTAGAGAGTTTATCTCCAAAATTATCTCTAATTTAGTAGAGAGTTTATCTCTAATTCCAATTTATATTCTCCCCTACTTTCTATCTATATCTATCTAAATAATTTGGATTAAAAAATTAATAATTATTTAAATATTTTAACAAAATTATATAATAAATATAAAATATTTATTAAAAATAATTTTAAATTTATACAAAATATATCACGAAATTATGTACTAACAATTTAAATTATGTTTTTCTAGATTACCAATTTAAATGTTTTTCAAATATTTAATAATATGTAATAGCTTTAAATAAATAAAATTCAAATAACAAAAAAAATTTAAAATATGTTATAGATTATTTAAATATTTAAATATTTATCATAATTAGATTTTAAATAGTTAAAATAACGAAATTATGTAATAAATTTAAAAAATTTCTTCAAAGTAGAAAAATAATTATAACATAATATTGACATTAAGAATAATTTGATATATTACAAAATTAATGATGAAATTATGTAATAATAGTATTAGTTATGATTTTATGGATAATTAAATTCAATAAAAAATAACATTGAAATTTTAAATATTTTACATATTATTTAAGTATTTAAATAACTAAATATTTTAAATTGTTAAAATATTTAACTATTTAACATAACTAGATTTTAAATAATTAAAATAAAGAAATTATGTAATAAATTTAAAAAAATCTGAAAAGTAGAAAAATAATTATAACATAATATTGAAATTAATAATAATTTAATATTTTTACATAATATTGTAAATAACTAATTTCACTTATATCAAGTAATAACTCGAGAAAATGACTTTCAAAAAAAAAATAATATTTATTAATAATAATTTTAAAATGTATTAATAATAACTAAATGTATTTTCAATGATTATGTATAAAATTATTTTGTTTTTTTATTTAATAGAAAACTTTCAATAATTATTGGAGAATAAACTACTATTATTTAAATTTTAAATTTAATTTATTGTATTTATTGCATTTTTGTTATAACTTATTGATTATTATTTATTAGAGATTAAACTATTATTTGAGATTATACTATTTATTGAGTAAGTTAATATATTTTTAGTACTTCTCATATTTTTGTAATTATTGTATTTTTTCATTATTAATATATTTTCAATAATTGTGTGTTTTCGCTCTAAATTTTCAATAATTATTGGAGATTAAACTATTGTTATTTATTAGAGATGAGACTATTAATTTATCAGAAATTATGAGTGTTCATGAGTTGGTTCAGTTCGGTTATAGGCTATTTGGCCAACCAAACTAACCTAGTCAGGTTGGGGAGTTGGTCAATTAAACCAATTGACCTTTTGTGAAAACTGACCCACTCAAGTTTTATCGGTTTGGGTCAATTTTTTTGTTTTGGTCAGTCGGTCCAAAAAATTTAAACTTAAAAATTTAATTTTAAAAATTATAGTGCAATTATTAAAAAAATAAATTTAAAAATGAGATTTATGATATAAAACATTTTAGACTAAGAAATATGAGAAGTTTCCCACTTTTCCAATTTCATCTAATGAAAGATTGATTAAATCCATTGCAAATTGTAAGTGGTGTTTTAATAAAATACTAACTATATGGTGGATTTTAGTAAATTTATGAAACTATAAAGGGTATTTTAGCAAATGATGCATTTTATTATTTAGCTTTGGCTTAATAAATCTTGTGCATATCGCACGGTCCCGTTAGTTCTCTCTATATAAGCAAATTAATTAGGTTCTCATCCATATATCCCATGCAGAGAGCTTCCAAATAAAAACTCTCTCGCCTCTGCAACAGATAATTTGCTATCGGCCGGCGGTTGCTGCTAGCTGCTGGCACCATGCCTAATGGGGTGAAGGCTGTGGTCATGTATTTGGTTGCCATTCTGCTGCAGATGGCTCATGGTGTGGACTTGGAGATTGGCTTTTACGATAAGTCGTGTCCGTCCGCTGAAGAAACCGTTCGGCAGGTAGTGGCCGGTGCATATGCCAACAACCGGAGAATAGCCCCTGGACTCATCCGCATGCATTTTCATGATTGCTTTGTAAGGGTACGTAAAACTTTGGTACCCCAAATTTCTATACCATTGTTTAGTTATCATAAAATTTTCTACCATTATTTAATAGTTTGATATACGGTTAAAAATGCGCTTCAGTGTCGGCATGAAGTATGTTAGAAACTAGAAATCTTTTGCTCCTTCTAAAATAAAAAGTATATAAATAAATAAATATATATATATATATATATATATATAGTTTTTTCATTTCAGTTAAGAGATTAATTTAGATTTTATTTGTAAACAATAATCTATTTTATTTGAGATTCACCACTTATCTGGTATGTTTAATTTGAGTCTATTTTGTAATTTACAATTCATTTCATCTAAAAGAATGGGATTGATATCATTAAAAGTCTTTATAATAAGTTTTTTTTATTTAAATTAAAAAGATTAATATGGATTAATTATACATCTTTTGAAGTGGGTAGTACTTTTATTTGATAGCTAGGCACCAACATATTTAGAGTAATTAATTATCATTTTTTAGAGTGGAATTAATTACTATCTCACTTTTTTTTAAGGGAATATATACATATGTCAGGGAAAAAGGCAGCTTAATTTGAGAGTAAAATAGTTATTCTCTTAATACTCTTCTTTTTCTAGAAGATAGATATTAAGAGAGTATAAACCTACCTTTCTCAAAAAAGAATATTAAGAGAAATTATCCACTCTAAAAAAATGATAATTAACTATAAACATGTGGATATCTAGCTATCAAATAAAACTACCCATTTCAAATCCAGATTAATCTTTGTAATTCAATTTCTTAATTCAGATAAAAAAATCATTATAAAGACTTTCGGTCCACATATTTTAACAAGATCAAATAGCTTCAATCACTAATTACCAAGGATTTGAAGAAGTTGATCATTTTATTCACATCACAGGGTTGTGATGGATCTGTGCTACTGGACTCCACTCTGGGAAATTCCTCAGAAAAAGAGGCAGAGCCCAACAGAAGCCTGCACGGTTTCCAAGTGATCGACGACGCAAAGGCCATGGTGGAAGCTCAGTGTCCAGGTGTTGTTTCCTGTGCCGATATCCTCGCCTTTGCCGCCCGAGACAGTGCGAGCCTCGCCGGGAAAATACACTACCGAGTCCCGGCTGGACGAAGGGATGGCCTAGTCTCCATAGAGAGCGAGGTAATTACCAACATCCCCTCTCCATTACTCAATGCCACGGAGCTCGTCGGCAGCTTTGCAGCCAAGAACCTAACTACAGCGGATATGGTTACACTTTCTGGGGCGCATTCCGTCGGAGTGGCGCACTGCAGCTCATTCATCAACAGGCTATACAACTTCAGTGACACCGATGACATAGATCCAACTCTCGACCCAATCTACGCCAGCATCCTCAGGAGCAAGTGTCCTTCGAACGTCACATCTACGGACCCAACTGTGGTTTCACTCGACTCCTTAACGCCTGCAGTACTCGACAATATGTACTACGTGGGGCTTCAGCTAAACCGTGGACTGCTAACCTCGGATCAGGCTTTGCTCACGGAGACTTCCCTTAAGGATTTGGTTGATTTGAATGCTTACTACGGAAAGGTTTGGGACTGGAAATTTGCTAAAGCCATGGTTAAAATGGGAGGCATCGAGGTCTTGACTGGCAGCGACGGAGAGATAAGGAAGAACTGTAGGGTCGTTAATGGTGGTGACGACTCTGAACTTTTCCCCGATAAACTCTTTCCAGATTCTGCATGTCTAAGCTAAGATGGGTTCTGAGTAGATAGTGAAGTAATATGGCCATAATGTTATATATTATTGAAACTTATAACTACTAATGTATATAGTCTTTTTAGTTTATTAGGCTGCATTTTCTAGTCCGGGTGTTGGTTGCAAATTCATATTAATTTGGACTTTGGGCTATAAAAATTAATGAAATAAATTAAAACTGAATTAAATCGATCATCGATGATGATGATATGACGTTGGCCTCCGGATCTCCCGACTCCGGTTCACCTCCCACCAGAACTCTGTTCATCGTTTAACCACAACACTACTATCCTGATGTTATTATGTGGGTCGAGGTGGATTTGTATGGATAAGAGATCTGAACTCGGATTTCTCATATTAATTTCTTCCCCTTCACTTTTCCGTGCACTTTCTTTTCAATCTGTATTTCCTGCCCGCAACCTTGAATTGCAGGTTGCAGCCGCACATCGCCATGTTAGATGTGCGACTAAGTGTATCACCATGAATAGGGCGTGGGTAAAGAAAGTGAGTAGGACATACGTGTGAGTGGAAATATCCATATCCTATACAACGGCAGCTAGCTGTGGCTACTGGCTAGACCTGTTCACGGGCCAAGTAGGCCGACGGCCCTGTCTGGCCCGGCCCGCATTTCAGTCGGGCTTGGACATGTAATTAGGCCCATGGGCCTGATCTCGGGCTTAAAACAGCCCAAATTATAGGTCCGATGGTTGGGTCAGACTCAGGCTCAAGCCTTAGAAAAATCTATTAATGCAGAGTGAAAGCCCGGCCCGACCCAACCCATGAACAATTCTAGCTGTGGCCTTATAAACCACATGTGGGCATTAATATTTGCACCAATGCAAACTTTTGAATGTTTGCAAAAATGCATTTATTTTTGTATGGATAGGAAACAAACAAGAATACAAATTGGGTTTTCAACCCTGGACCCATTTTGTATTCATGAACTAGGAGGGGCAATGTGTTACTCAGGTTGGAAAGAGAATATGTGTAATGCAAAGCTTTGTTTTGTATTTCTAAACCTGTATTTGTATTTATACAGTTTCAAAACTGAGTCATATACATTTACATTTATATTCCAAACAAACTAATACTATACCCCATATCAGATGTTTCAGTACCTAATAACTCTCTTTTTAGTTTTTTCCCCCAAAATTTCTTTGGGGTACCCCTAAAACTGGTCAAAATCCAAAACACTCCTTATTTGGGGTTTGGCAGATTTACCAATACTTTACGATATGGTATATTACTATATATTATGTTAAAATCTTGATAATAATATTGGAAACGCAAAAACAAGTGATGCCAAGGCTTGAAACCTGCAACTACTATAGCAAATAATTCTTCGGCCTTGTTTATTTGGAGGCAACTTTGGAGAGTTGGGAGATTGACCAACTTTCCTATATTCTTTTATTAGTGAAATGTAGGTCCCATAAAAACAAAGTTTTCCTCTTGCTCACCAATGAAAGTTTTACTTGGTAATTTATTAAGGAAAGTTTTACTTGCTCACCAATGAGTTAAGCTATTTACCCATGGAGAGGGGAAATTGGCCAAATTATATAAAACTAAAATATCCCTACAAAAAAAAAGGAAAAACAAAAAACAAAAGATCCTTTAAGAAACTCGCTCACTTACCCATATAAAATAACATGTATAAATGTATTTACTCAAGTAACATTTTTCCAAATAATACTTATCCAAATAAATACATTTACTCATGTAAGTAACTTATTGCCGAACGAATGGATCTTAAAGATGGTTTTCAAATTTCATGTTGGTAGTAAACCATAATCTGAAACTAGAATTTTGCAAAAGAAAGTCCTATTTCTTGAAAGTGAATGCATCCTTTTTTTTTTTTAGTTTTCGATTCAAGTGAATCAAGTGAGGTGGCCGAAGGCAAGGGTTGGACAACTTAGATTCAGCACTCTTGCCTCTCCACAAACTTTTCCCACATCCTTACCCACTATCACTCACGTCTATTGAAAACATCTCCTTATAAATAACAAGGGATGTGGGAAGAGTTAATGTGTAGGAAATTTGAACAAGGGGCTAGTTTTGATAAGAACTAACAATATAAGAGCCATAGGGGCCATCCATGCCTGGAAAATTGTGGGCCGGACCCTTCAAACTTGGTTAATTTTGAAAATTATCCCACTACAAACTCAAAAATCCAACTAATTATACTATGTTTGGTTTGTTGGCATTTATTGAAAAAACGCCACCACATTTGCATAGGTGTTGGTGTTTACTACATATGAAATTACTATTTGGTTTCACCGTTTATAAAACTAAAATGATTTGATTATGTGCATGGGGCATTTGGGGAAACATTAAATTCATGTTTCCCCCAATGCCTGGGCATTTCTTGAAATGAAATGCTGATATGGTGCACTTTATCTAAGATGGAAAGCAACTTTATAGTGTGTTACTTGAAATGCCCATAAAACATCTAATCAAATAGAAAAAACAAAAAACATGTAGTATTGTGTTTGGTTTAATTTACAATTTTTCATTCAACCTTTGTATTTTATTTGCTTACAAAATTGAGAAAGATAATAATTACAACTGTTTATGACAATTAAACTATACATCAGCGTAAAAGTAAAAAAAAAACGATTAACCGTTTGTAAAATCTTTGAAAAAGAAAAGGTGAAGTGCTGAAGTGGTGCCCACGTAATCAAACACAAGTAGCGTTTTTCATATATATATAAAAAAAAAAAAAAAGCCTCTCAGAAAACAACCACGGAACCAAATTGATCCTATACGCTTTGGGCTTTTCTCGAGTTAGGCCAGAGAAGACGACTGGAGTTCACAACCCATAATTTCATCAGGACCGTTTAGTCGGTGGACAAAATTGATCCTATGCGCTATAGTGTAATCTGCAAGCTCGACCTGATATCATGGTCCAAATCGTGAGTCGTTCACGTAATCTAAATGACTATCTTTTTCATCGAAATCTGTCTAATTGGTAATGTAGGCCCACCAGAAAAGAGAAGAAGCGGTGTAACGTTGGCCGTTTGTGTTAATAGCAAGAACAAGTAAACATCCCGTTCTCGTACAAGTTTTCAGTTTTAAGCAAGCAAACAGAAATTCTTTGATCATTTTCGCATTTGTTTCGTTCTGTAAGAACATTCATGGGGAAGATCAGATCTTTTAAAGATGAATTTACATTCGGTTCGTTTCTATCCTTTGTTTTCATTCACCCTTAGTCCTTTCTTTTCCTTTACAATTTCGTTTTATCTGTTCGATTTGCTGCAGATGAGAGATTTCAGGAATCACGGGATATCCTCGCCAAATATCCTGATCGAGTGCCTGTAAGTTTACCATTTTCTGTTCCTCTTTTTTTACTTCAGATGTAATTATCCCTTTCATGAGTTTACGGGTGTGAATTGAACTTTATTTGGTATAGTTGAGAACATTTTGGGGAGAGCCAAATCGAAACTCAGCTTGGGTGGGAATTAGAGAATTTCTTCCCTTCCTTTTCTTTTTGATTTTATCTTTTGATACCCAATTATCGTGGATTTCTAAAGAGAATTCACTTTCAAGATGAAAGTTCTGATTTCTCTATTTGTCCGCCATGGCTCGTGGAAGCCCTGAAAGTTGTTGGAACTTGGACGAGAAATTTCTAGGGCGATTTTTTTTTTTACTTTCACCCTAAAAGTGAGGAAAAGGGAGCTTCGGTTTTAATTTTATGTCGACCATATCACTGTTTACTAGCATCCAGGGTTCTCCATCACGGTTGGAAGGTACTATAAATAAACCATCCAGTTCTTTATTGGCTGAACCTAAAGAAGAAATTTCACAAGACATATGGGCAGTCACTGAAGGATGATAACTATACTATGTTTTGTTGTCTGATTTATTATTTATATGCCTATCTAAGTTATGTTCATTTCTAAAATTGGACAACTGCAGGCTTTAGATTCGGTATTTAAAATTCCCTCAATGATGTAATGAACGTTATGACTTAGGAACTCATAGCTGGTTCTCCTCATTGGACACAGTAGACATCTTTGCTACTGTATTAGCATAATTTCGTGCATTTGCCAACAAAAAAGAAACGCATCTATAATTGAACTATGATGACCAAAAGACAATTTATTTAAGGAGTGTGAAAGTGTGCTTATTACAGGAAAATTGGTACTTTTATAGGTGGTTGTTGAAAGATATTCAAAGACTGATCTTCCAGAGATGGAAAAGAAAAAGTAAGTTCAAGCCTCGACTTTGGGTCTCCAGAAAATTGGTACTTTTTTTTGCTGTATCTTTAAAGCACAATAATAAATTGATGTTTACAATGAAATTGGTTATTTGTTGATGCATCTGAGATTGGATTTTGAAGCTCAGATCAATCTGTGGTGAATCACTGTGACATTCCTTGCATTCCCTGTATATGCTTGCATATATGTAGATATCCTGAAAGTGAGTTGTTTTCTCTTGAAAATTTTGCCATGTTTTCTGAGTTGATTTTTTTGTACAATCTTCTGATTCAACTTATATTGTCTTCCTCAAAGAAAGAGAGGGGGTATATCTTTGAATTTTTTTCTAAATCTCTGGAGTCTTAAAATTTAGTTTCTAACATAGTCTTGTTTTCTTGGTGATATTGTATTTGCATATTAGAAATTATATAAGTATCAACTTTGCTCCATCAAAGGAGCCAGAGAGCTTACAAATTTTCTAATAGATTACATCAAGGAATGCTCCTTTCTAACCACAAACTTCTATTGTAGGACATGTTCTGGTTGGTAAATATTAAAAATATGGTACTGAGTGTAAAAATTCGACAGAATCCCACCAAATTCTTTTGTTACAATATTCTTTCAAAGCTTTCTCTTTCTTTTACTTGATTTTATTAAGTGGAGAACAGGGAGTCTTAGATTATATTTGAAGCTGTTGGAATTTGAATGGTACTATAAACAATTGTATCATAGTGGAAATGGTTGTGCTGTTGTGGTGGTTAACTGGTTAGAAAAGGACAAAGTCACAAAGATATGGTTGATGATCCCAAAAGGTAGGATTTAAAACTGTGAACATATACCCATTTTTAACTAGAACAGGTTAAAATGTAAAGGATCAATAAAATGCAAATAAACTAGTTAAAAAAACCTTGTTACTCCATATATCTAGATCACTGTATTTTAAGAAGCATATTCATCTAAAGGCTTGATGGAATATATGGCCATTTTTTATTAGAAATAAACATGTCAAATCGAAGCTTTCATGAATTATCTCTATATTGTAATGATATTTGGTTTCTGTAACGTATATCAGTATACTCCAGACCTCTAGAAAGGAATAGGTAAGGTAACCAACTGGGATGTTTATCTTGGCTTGGAAAAGACAGAGTTGTCAAGGAAACCTTAGTCTATATATTGATCTAATGAATGTTAGTTAATGGTCAAGATGTTGGTGAAGACACAAATCCACCAACAAGGTTTACAGAAGCTGGGGTTGCAAGAGCAAGTGAACATCACCTTTGATTATTGAAAATTCATTTAGCCATGAGTGAAAAAAAAAAATCAACTATGCTTTCTGCCAAATGGTTCACCACCGGATGATGTTAATAGGTAAGAAAAAAATGCAAATTTAGTATCATTATATTAGTCAAATTACAAGCAGTTTTAAGTTTCTGTAAACATCAAGGAAATTTTAATTTATATATTGATATAATGAATGTTAGTTAATGGTCTAGATGTTGGTGAAGAGTCTGAAGACACATAAAACCATCAACAAGGTTAATACATAAGCTGGGGTTGCAGAGCAATTGATCATCACCTTTTGACTATTGAAAAATGTTCTTCATTTAGGTATTAGTAAAAAAAATCAACTATAATATGGTTCACCAAAGGATCATATATATATATATATATATATATATATATATATATAGGAAACGGTAACTTTCATTAGATAAAACCATAAGAAACAACTGTCACCTTCCAAAGTAAAAGGTGACCCCTGAATAACAAAAATCTTACAACACTGCACAAAACAAAAACTCCCGATTCACCCCCTGTTTTGCTAGGTAGTCAGCTAAAGAATTTGCTGACCTCCTAGACCAATACACTTTTGCATCCAGCTCCCTTGTGAGGCTCAATAATTCCCTTACCTGTTGTCTAAGGGACCACGTTCCCAAACTGTTTGATTGCAGTCATCCTACTACTAATTTTGAATCCCCCTCCACTTCCAACTGTTGGAAACCCAATTTCTTGGCCCATCTGAGCCCCTGGAGGAGAGCCAAAACTTCAGCTCTAAGCGAGTCCCCCACACCTATTGGGCCAGAATACAGAGATAGGATTTTTCCTTCTGCATCTCTAAACACACCCCCTATTCCAGAAGGTCCGGGGTTCCCAATAGAGCTGCCATCAAAGTTCAGTTTGACATGACACTGCAAAGGAGGGGACCAAACTGCTTGTATGGTAGGTGATGAAGTAGACGATCTTGCTAAAATATTCCAGCCTCTAATCAAATCATCTGTAGAGATTTGATTATAAACAAATACTTCATTAGTATCATTATGTTAGTCAAATTAGAAGCAGTTTTCAGTTTCTGTAAACATCAAGGACATACTTCAGGTGACCCTAAACTTACTAAACTTCAATGGAGAAGTCAAATTCATAAATTGAATGGTTAAGATGGATAACATCAACAAGTATGAAACAACTGCCTCCACATGTTATCACTTTGTGTGGCAATGCACATGGTTCTCAATTAGGAAATACGCTTTGATCTAGCCAATGTTTTGGACCTGCATGGAGAGTAGAGTCAGTAAAATGAATGACCAAGGTGGAATGTGCTTAAATTTTTGGTGCACATGAACATTGAGAAAGGTAAAACTCTGGAATCATCAGGTAGAGTGCTTAATGACTCCCAAGCATGTCAGGAGTTGCATTAGACTGTTTAAAAGCAAGAAATGAACTTTTCCCAGCAACAGATGGCATCCATGACGATGTAGATTTTGTGGTGTGGGATGAGGTAAATCTTGATTTGCTTATCAAAATAAACCAATAAACAGATTTCTTGAAGTATATTGCCTAAAGAGATGAGAACTCCAGAAAGGTAATTGGGTTCTTGGTGTTTCAGTCTCCCTTCACATAGATTTGGTATTACTTTTTTTTTTTACTCCGAGGGGCTACACACAGGGGGTACCCATCCCCAAGACCCATAACCCCCCCAACCCTGATGCAGGTGGGGTTCAATCCCAAGTCTCTGCTACAACCAGCAGGAGACCTTACCAACCAGGAAGTTGCACCTTGTGCAATCTGGTATTACTTGCATTTGAGGAAATATTTGTGGGGACTAGTATGGATGTATCTTACTGGAAACCTGTTTGCAGAATCCGCAAAACAAAAAGCTCATGATTCTTGTGCTTACTCCATTCATATTCTTGAAGATGTTTGAAGAGATGAAATTTTTGGAATGGAATATGTGCTTGTTCAGTTATCATCAAGAAGAGATGTCCTGGTGTGACTTTGGTACATATGGACTTTTGGAACAAAATATTTTCCGTGTACATTGATTTGCAAGCAATGAATGCTTGGCATTTTCTTTGACATTAGCTTTCAAGAATTTTGACCATCCTCCAGTAGATGGAGTTCATAGTGGATCGGTTGGTGAAACAGAGAGGCAGGTCTTCTTGAAGGATTAAAAATTAACTTATCTATAGATCTGCCTACTTCTTCCACATGCTTGATTGGTGAAAGAAAGAAAAATGAACTTCTCGATAAGCAATCCAAAACGCTGGTAGAATTCATTGAACATTACTTGTAAGAACCTTCAAATTATAAAGAGAAATATTTGCTTTACTTGGTCATTTATAGTACAAATTGAGGCAAAATTGGTAAGTGATTTTTGCTCTGGTACAAGTTGATGTGTATCCCTTTTTGTGTTGACACTTCAATAGACGGATGGAAAATCCTACCTGCTCCCCTCCCCCAGGTATGTTATTCCATTGTATTTTCTAAAGTGAAGATATGACAGTCTCTATGATGGATAGATTTTCAGTCGCACTGGCTTCAGTTGATTTTGTTTCTCTGTTTCCAGTTAAATTTTTATTTTTGTAGAAAGAAACCAAATATTTGATTTTGTTTCTCTTAAGTGAACATAGGGCAGTCTTTATGGCTGATAGATCTTCAGTTGCACTGGCTTCATTAGATTTTATTTCATTATTTCCAATTATTTTTATTTTTATTTTGTTTTTTTTTTTGTAGAAAGTGACCAATTAATTTGAACATATTTTTATTTATGTTCCTTTTTATTCCTACTACAGATACCTGGTTCCCCGAGACATGTCCATTGGACAGTTTATCCACATATTGAGCATCAGGCTGCATCTGCCTCCTGGAAAAGCTCTCTTTGTATTTGTGAAAAATACCTTACCTCAGACAGGTATAGTTAACATACTATTAGCACACAAGCATCTCATGTTTTGAAAAGCTACTCTTGCTGCACATCTTTGTTTAATCATGGAGGAATCTGCTAACGTGTCCTTTTTGCTCATTATCGACAGCCAATCTCATGGACTCTGTCTATGAATCTTTTAAGGATGAGGATGGGTTTCTATACATGTGCTACAGCAGCGAGAAAACTTTTGGTTAGTTCAGCGATATGTTCCGTGAATGTAAAATCGGGACATAGATGTTGCTGTAAAGTCATTCCTGTAAATGAATCAAGATCTGTATAAACTAGCATTTATGATATGAAATTTTAGATGTGATAATGCTTAAAACTTGACAAGATAACAAGTCAGCAAGTATATTCCAATGTTGCTCAAATGATTTCATTCTATTTTTGTCATGACTTCAAATCCCCGTCACCCACGACATTTTGATCTAAAATGGATTAATTTTCACTTCAGCTCAGTTTGGAACAATGTTTTCAAAACCAGACCGGACCGGCCGGAAAAATTGGGAACCGATCACCTAACTGGTTCCACTTTACCCCAGAATCGGCTTTTGGTAAAAAACCGTTGATTTGGTCAACAAACTGTTGACCCGGGTAATTGAATTGTCCAATGGTTTTGGGCCGTTTTTCTTTAAATTTTTTGTTAAAATAGGCCATTTGTTCGGTTTTAATGGTTGAACCATTCAACCTGTGAACTGGACCCCTGAATGGTTCGTTGTCTAGTTTGGTTTTAAAAACCTTGGTCTGGAAGAAGTACAAATACAAATATATAGATATAGAGTGCAAAGTCTTGTATTTTGTATGTATTCGTATTGTACATATTTGTATTTATATTCTTTCCACATAGAGCAATAGGACAAAGAAAAACAACAGAAAATATTTCATTGCAGGTAGCACTCAAAGATGCTGTAAATATTCTTTGGAGAGGACAATGGCCAATATCAGAATGTAGACTATACGGTTATGTTTGGTACCATTGCCACTTTTACTTTTAACATTTTAAGTTGGTTAATATAAATTTTATGAGAATATATTTTTTTCTACCATAAAATGATTTGAGTTATCAATACAAATTACAACATTTGGTACCATTGATGTTTTTACTATAAGTGGTAACACCAAATCCAATGCCCATATTTTTTTAGTGGAATTGGTTATCTGGTGTGATGTGATTAGACAATTTGTTAAAAAATTGTATTTAACTTAAAACATTGCAAAGTAGAAGTGGTAATGGTATCAAACACAACCTACATTTGTTGTTATCATTCTTTTAATGACACCTTGAATCTTCAATTAGGGACAACTATAAATTCTCAGCATCCACCAATGTTTTTATGTTGGAGGTCCAAACATAAACAAGGAATCCTTAGGTTATAGTAGGTTAGCAGCATTGATGCATTTTGTGCCTTGAATTCTTTAATTCAACTTGCCTAATGACCTACCTGGAATTAAGTTGAAAAAACAAAAACCTGAAGACAAAATTTTATAGTAATTTATGGTGGAAGTATAGGGCTTGTGTCGTAGGTGTAGGGATAAAACCTTCACAATAGTATGAATCCTATCCATTTTCAACTTATGGGTCCAAATCAGATGTGTACGTTGTATTGTTTGGAGGTTTTCCTTTCCTTGTATATTTTGGCTTGGAAAAGAAGTGAACATGATAGATTAGGTGTATTGGGGTTTAGGGTTTCTGTGAGAGAGTGTTTATAGAACTTTGTAATTTCCATTGTTGTTTTCTATAGTGAATTTCAATTCCTCCTTCACCCATGAACTTGAGCGACAAACCAAATCATTTCCATTCAAATTATATTTCTATCCTTATAATTAGAGGACTAAATTTAAAAGTTGGGATATTTTAGTCAAAGAAAAGTTTTACAATATTACTCACACTTTTAATAGTACTAGTATTTGTATACACATGACAAATTTTGTGATGATGATAATATATAATATATTTCCATTTTTTTGCAATTTTTTATATATTTCTACATCTATAAAATTATTTTTATTTATCACATTTATTATGGTTCATTTATATAAGGATATGTCCAAATAAAATTCTTGCAAAGGTAATGAGAATTAATAAAATTCTTATTATTCTTATTTATCACTAATACAATTCTTATTATTCTCATTTATTATGGTTCATTAATAAAATTAATATTTTTTATTAGTTACCTTTGTCAAAATTTCATTTGAATTCTCATTTGCAGGAATTAACTTCTATATGATAAATCCAACTTTATCCCCTTCAACTAGGGGTGAGCATTCGGTTTATTCGGTTAAAAACAGAACTGAATAAACCAAATTTTTAAAAACCGAATTAAAAAATTGAAAACCGAAACCGAATTACAAAAAACTGAAAAAACTGAACCGAAATTTTTGGTTTGGTTTTCGGTTATTTCGGTTAAAAACTGAATTTAATTAATATATTAAATAGTATATATTATAAATTATAAATTATATATTATATATTGTATAATGAATTTTAATTAATTTGGTTTTTTTGGTTAACCAAATTTCTAAATCTGAAAACCAAAACCGAAATTACTAAAAACTGAATCAACCAAACCGAATTACCCAAAAACTGAAAAAGCTGAAACCAAAATTTTCGGTTCAATAATTCAGTTTTAACCGAATAATGCTCATCCCTAAGGTACCTTCAACTGTTGAAAACCTTACAATTAACTACTATAAAAACTATCACTTAATCAGATATCTTGTCATCCAATGATGTGGGCTTTAAGATAATGGAAATGAAAAATTAACCCACCATATAATGGGAATAAAGAAGAGAAAATCATATGCTACCATAATGATCAAGAATTGGACCAATGAAGACAAGGTAAAAATATTTAGAAAAACAATAGATAGTTTAAAGAATAAATTGATCGTCCATTTGCAAGTTGAAAATCTCTTCATGATGGTTAATGTGGCCCAACATTGGCTATTAAGAACATAAGATGTATTTTAAGGTTTTTTTTTTTTAATTTAAATAAATGAAAGAGAAAATTGCTAAAACCTCTTGTAAAATTGTTGATCATTGCTGAATGCCCCTCCTAAAGTTTGGTAAATGCAATCACCTCCCATAAACTTTTTGACACAATTGCAAATAGACCCTCTATTAGAATCTTCTAACAAAAAGCACAAAAATATCCAAAATACCCATGTAGTTACTTTTGACCAAAATGTTTATTTTCTAAATTTTTTCTTCATATCAATTACTACCCTAATCCCTTCTAATCTTTTCTTCGGAATTGATTTATTTTCCAAATTTGCCCTTCATATCAATTATTCAAAGGTAAAATTGCAACTTTAAACTCTTTTTTTGTTGTTCATAACATTTATATTGTTTTTTATGTATAAACCAGCCTTAATAATAATTACATAGGTATTTTAGACATTGGCATGCCTCTTATTAGAGGATTTTATAAAGGGGGCCTACTTGCAACTGTGTCAAGAAATTTAGGGGAGGTGATTGCAATTATCAAACTTTAGGGGAGGTTTGGACAATGGTCAAAACTTCAAGGGAGGTTTCAGCAATTACCATGGTTTCAACCATTACCATTTAACAAGCATTAAATGGGATTGCTAAATAACATTTTTGCCATTGATTTGTTTAATCATTAACAAAAAGAATGCAGTTTTGTGTCTTTTTAGTAATAAGCATTAAATGAGAAAAGAAAATTACATATTTACCATTGCTCCTTCTCTAATTCAAATCTTAGAGATGAGGTATTTTAGTGTATATATATTGGAGGCTCAAACATTGTTTGATGTATATTTAATGAAGTTATTATATGATTTGTATGTATTCTAAACTCCCGTTATTATTGATTGTAATATATCTCTTCATATAAACTATCAAAGTTTGCATTTTTATGTGTTTTTATCTAATTAATAGTTATTTCAACTTTAGATTTATTGTTATAGATGTATTTGTAAGAATTTGCCCAATGTATTTATATGCATCCAAAGCATGTTGTGATACAAATCTATACACAAGCTTATCGACACGATTAGAACAAAATGTGTTGATGTGCAAAATGTGATTGGATTGGAATAAGTTAAAGTATATGAAATAGAAGATAGAACAAAGATATTGATTGCATAATGCATATCGCACTTTGGGCTTTATATTAGAATTGAGCTCAAGTCGAAGAATAGGCTTGATGATCAAACCAGGCTTAGGCTAACGGGTAAAGCCCAGCCCTAACCCAATCCATGCATAGATCTAGATAGGGGTGTAAATTGGGTAGGCCCAACTCAAGCCCGGACCAACCTAGACCGCAATTTTACACAAGCTAGAACTGGTTTTTTTTTTTATTCTCAGAGTAGGCATGGGTCCAAAAGTTTTTCTTTTTTTTTTTTTTTTTTTAATTTTCTGGCCAGGGTCCAGGCCTAACCTTTAGATTGCTCAAACCAGGCCCAACATTATCCTTTTGATTAAAATTGGTAAGGCCCAGCCCATGCATAGCATAGGTCTAGATGGAGATGCAACTTGGGATGCCCAACCCAAGCTCAAACCAACATAGCCCACAAATTTTCATTGGCAGGGTTTGGGTTTTTGGTGCTCAAGCTAGGACTAGGCCTAACCTTTAGATAATTCGAACCAGAGCCAAGCCCAACCAGACTATATACATATATGCATGCTTTTTTTGGTAAACCATGCGTATACGCATTCATGCATACATATAAATATACGTTTATATCAAAGAATTTCGGTACAGGCTGGGCCAAGTTGAATAATTTGGGATTGACCTTTGAAATATGACAGAATTCTTAGGATAGGACCTGGATTAAACAAAAACCCAGCCCAGCCGCCCGACTTGCACCCGTGGGTCTAGATACGGTACCCCGATACCGGATGCTTTGAACCTTGTGTAAATACCCAAATTGAAAATGCACATGTCAAATCGCATGTAGTAATACATTAGCAAGGCCACGCAGCACACAGCAAGGATAAATGGATAAATGATCACACAATGACACAAGCATTTACCTGAAAAAATGAGAAAGGCAAACGATTTTCTATTGTATATAACAGTAGTTTCCGACTTTCCGCCCAAAACAATGTATAACCATTAACCAATAACCAAGAACAGAATTTGTCAGGCACTTCTACACGTACGCCTGACTCCAAGTGCAGATATCCATTAAAACAAAATCCAAAACCAGACAAATCGAATTCATGCAAATACAGCCCAAAAGTTGAAAACCTCAAATTTACATTTTTTTCTCCAGTGATACGACTATACGTCTATACCCATCAAATTATACTAGTAAACCCGGTGGCCGGTTGCATGGGAACTAATCCCAAAATATAAACATGTTCATGGGGCCAAAAAGAAATTAGCTCCACTATATATCAATTCTATGGATTGCAGCTACCCAAAAAACTAGCACCATCCAACAGATCCGCGGACAAAATTGTCACTTTGTTGGGTCTCTCTGAGTCATTGCTACCAGTCTCTGACCTCCACCCTTCCGCCATACACCACGAACTGGCATCCCTTCCAAAGGGTTCTTCCCATCTTCTGTTGTTTCTTCCTCCTGGTCAGGTCCGGGATCAGGATTTCTAAGGCCCAAAATTGATGCTACTGAGCCATCACCTAGACGGACCCTATGGAATTTTGAAGTTTTCTTCCGTTGCTTATTGCCTCCTCCACCCCCCAAGTTTTGGTTGGTACCAGGAGCTGATTGATAACCATTCTGGCCTCTTGAATCAGAAGGCTGCCAATTGGCAGAACTCAACCCTACCTGATTATCAACTGATACCTTTGATTTTCCTTTTGAAGCTCGATACCCATCCTTTGTCAATACCTCCACCTGTTCTTCTGAAGGCTTAGAATTTAGCTGAAGCTTCCTAACAGTGCTAATGATACTATCTGCCAAGGTTTCTTTCGGGCTAATATCAGCATCATCCTTGCATTTCCCTTTACCTTTACCGGCTCCATTACAATCTTTAGAACGAGTTCTGCTTTTGCCTCGAGCATTCTCCCCTATAGAACTCAACAAATTGGCATTGTAAGTGTCAAGCAACTCTTTCTGCTTCTGGGCATCAGGGCAGAGTCTTGCTAGCTCAGGAACAAGATGTGACAGGCCAAACTGCTCAGTGTAAGACAGATATTCACCTGTGCCAATTACACCTTGACGATACTCTGCAGATATCTCTTTAAAAGCAGCATACTTGTTCTCGTCAAACTCTAAAGCAGAACGGATCCTTTCAACCAAAGTCTTGTTTGCAGTATGAACATCTTCCACATTAGGTAAGGACTGGGAATTTGAAGTAAGCTTGGGCTTCTGTGTTGCAGAAACAGGAGGAAAATCAGACATAGAAGAGTCCAGAGATGCTGTCCCCACAAGATTAGGGGATGAAGAAGAATGGCTGACCCTACTTGCACTACTTGAGTTCCATGAAGAACTAGCAGAACTAGTTGAAGCAAGTCCGTGAACCGTTGCCGGCCTGGACTGAGCAAAGCTTGCGTAACTAGGTACCGTTGTCCCATTAGCCATCGCCTGCTTATTCTGGGTAGAACTGGTAGAACCAGAAGATGATGCAACTACATAATTTGTAGATCTAGATTGCACATAACTATTAGATGATGTTGCAGGACCACGACTAGTCGGTGGCCGAACTTGAGGTGAATTGAGAACAGTCACAGTTCCATTACTACGGCGACGGAGGCGTGCAGCCATTGTGGTGTTGGCTAATCCTTCTGATTCATGTCTAACTTTCTGCTGACTACTTCCTGGTGCCACAGAAAGTGGAGGAAAGGAGGATTCTTCCATAGCTGCATTCCTAGAGGTCTGTCCTAGTGTCTGGTGACTACTTCCTGGTGCTGTGGAAAGAGGAGGAAAGGAGGATTCTTCCAGAGCTGTGTTCCTAGAGCTTTGGCCAAGTGCCTGGAGGTATCTTGAAGATGGCTCAGATTCAATTGTAGTTATTGATTCAAATGGCTCAACAATGGCATCCATTTCAATCCTCTCTCTACGATCAGAAATATCTTGCCCACTGGAGGATGGATCATGGGCTGACATTTCTGCATTGGCCGTTTCAAAACTGGCTTGAATGGCCAGTGAGAGTTGATCTTCTGAGGAATCAAGACGAAATCCTCGTCCACGCCCTCGTCCCCTTCCCCTTCCACGGCGAAACTCTTGTTCATTGTTTCGCCGGTATCGAAAACTAATCGGTATCTGGTACACAAAAGGAACAAATATCATGAAATAATCACAACAATAAACATGTATAGAACCATGAGATGCACAACCAAACAGAACTTTCTTTTATGCAAGAAAAATGGTCATCATCTACCTCCTTGGTCCTTACCAAATAAAGGAAATCTTAGACAGAACGATATTGCACAAAGATAAGAACAGCATACCACAGGGAGGGATTAGAAAGATATTTCACATACCCTAAGTGCAGCATTCCGCTGAGAACGAGACATGTGTCCCCCATGTTCAATAGCATCATGCCTCTAAAATAACATGAAGGATATATAGTCAGAAATACTGGAACATGTAGAGGGGAGTAGCAAATGAAAGAGCTAGAAGTCAGATATAAAACAGCATTCAAGAAATCCATGATGTGAATCAGAAAAATGTCACAGTAAAGAACACATTTGCTAAGTACAGGTTCACATAATAAAGTCACCTTCAAATCGGATTCGGACGCAAAAACAATGAATTTTTTAGCAAGGCAGGCCTCATCCTCACATAGGAAATGCTCTCGGCGGAAATGGATCTGTAAAAGAGAAACTTAACATAGACAAAATCCTAAGAAAGCATGGAAATCAGAAAGTGTAATGTATTACAAGTTATGAGATCTCACCTCCAAGTCATCATAATCTTTGTAGTATTCATATTGTCCTGGATGCTGCCTGCATTGAACAGAATATAATGGTCCAATGCATGGTTTGGTTATTTTGAATTGCAAGACCACCAACATTATGTCATAATAATAGAAAACAGAGTCTACCTTTGGCATATATGACAGGTATAATGTTCAGTAGACATATGTGAGTAGAGCTCATTATCCCCATAAAATGGGGTTCTGCAGAATTCACACATAGGATGACCCATGAAGCCACCTCTTTCACTCTCACTACCATCCACCTCTGAATCACCTGTGTTTGTATGTTGATTTAACTGTGCTCTAGTATATAGCTTTTGTTCACAAATAAATATCTGGTTCAAAATCTCAACTAACGTCAGTAACATCATTATGCTCATTAAGCCAACAAAAAAATGTTGAAATATTAAAAGGGAGGAATTCGTCTTAGGGCATAGTGGGCCCTAAGCCCTTGAAAATAAAACAGAACTCCAACACTAAGCAGGTAATATGTAAAACCCAGAATCAGAAAAATAGCTGAAAAGAATAGGGCTGAACTGAAGCTTAGGAGTGGTTTGATAACAGCTGAAGTGGTCAAACTGAAAAGTTTATAGATTTGTCATGTTTTTTCCATGAACAATCAAGATTTTATTAGAACTTCAAAAGAATATTGTACATCATAAATGTGCGAGGCAACCCTTTTTTGTAGGCTAGTATCCTACCCACACATAGTTTTACTGCTTTGTCTCTTGATGAATAAGTTTTTAGAGGTTGTAGGCTCCTTAATGGCTTAAACTGAATTTGGGCAGACATAGCTGTCACATAAAACCTATGTGACAAGGTGCCAAGGGGCTGTCAATGAACTCCAAAAGTCTATAGGACCACCATTAATGCACCGTTAACTCTCTCTCTCTTTCTCTCTGATCACTAAAGAATTTAAGCTGCAGATGAATTTGAGGGTTGAAGCTAAACTAAAGTTCCAGTTTTGCTTCACAGATAACGGAAGCCATACAGAGCATCTGACACAACAGCAAAAGTTAAAATTCCAAAGAGGAAAACTCGAGATTTGCAAGAATTCAATGACTTTTCCAAGTTTCCTACGATTGAAAACAATTAAGATTCATAAATTGCTTAGCTCCATTTGCTTTGCTGAGAGTTGAAATCCTCCATTTCTATTGACCGTTGCTAGTTGTTACCTTAATTTAGACATGAGTTACAGAGAATATTGGTCATTTCTCATCTATGGTATTCTCTCGTGTGTGTGCATGAGCTTGTTGAGAACATGTTGAATGGTGAAATTCGGTTCACCAGTTGTCTTAAGATCCCAACAAGTCCTGAAACTGCTACCGCATCAAGAATAGTCTTTGGATCGTTCTTGTTTGCACCCTTGTAGAGCTCTAGAGTGCCCAAACCATACTTGTGCGGTCATTCCTCACTTGGCGCCGAACCAGAGGCATTGTTTCTTCTTCTACATATTCTTCCTATGTTCCTCTGTTCTTTTGCCTCCGTGGTGAAATCCTAAACTTTGAGAGGGATGGTATATTTTGAAGATTTAATGAAGAAAATGACATATTTTGAAATTTTAATGAACACTTAATGGTATTTTTGTCCAATTTTATCTGTTATACTTAACCTTGAAAAGGTTAATAAGGTACATATAAGCTGTTTTTAAAAGTTCAGGGTATATATAAGTAATTAACCCATTTGGTTATCCCAGATTTAGATGTTAGAACTGACATTCAATTAATAATTGGATCAGATGCGGAGTTAACTCCATTTGATCCTATTAAAATCATATCTGATTAACTATTATCATTTAATTATATATGTAGTATAACTATGTGTATATATATAGCTATTATATACAATAATAATAAGTTTACAGCTGTTAAATTTAATATTTATATTATATAATTTATTATACATATATAAGGTAAAAGTAAGCAGCTTTTTTTTTTACTTTTTCTTTGTCATTTTAAGCACAATAAGTTGGATGTGGATTAAATCTGAATCCAATCCAATAACATCCCTAAAGGCATCCATGGAGGGTGCCTCACTTGAGCCTCTAGCTATTCAACACATGGTACCAAGAAATTATTTTATATTCTTTTTAATATATAATAATAAAACAGACATTGTTAAACCTTTTTTTACAAGTATTGTTAAACTAAATTACTCTTTTTATAGGTTTATATACTAGTTTCTTTTTATTATTTTCTTATTTGTTAGGATTCGGTCAACACACATGTTGGTGTATGCTATCTTGAACCCTCGATTTCTTTTTCTTTTTTTTTTGGATCAATAGCATAATCAGTTCCATTAATTAAGAAGAAATTCAGTACAATATTCCTTGTCACCCCTTGTTTAGCAAGTGTATCAGCAAAGGCATTTGCGTCTCTTCTGACCCAATTCCAAATCACCTCTATCCCTTGTAGCAGTTTGATTGCTTTCCTCTTTTCATATATATAGCACCACCATCCAGCCTTGTCCTCTTTTTGGATTCAGCTTAAGCTTCTAATCACCTATTCACCTTCAATTAACAACTTGCTGATATTCAGCCCTTTACCCTTTTGAATCCCTTCTATAACAGCCTTAATTTCAGCCCATAATGAGTCCCCAATTCCAATTGGACCCGAGTATAATGCAATGGCATTCCCCTCCCCATCCCTGAAAACTCCTCCTATGGAAGACGGACCCAAATTTCCTTCACTACTATCATCAAAGTTGAGATTAATAAGACCTCTAGAGGGTGGGGACCAAACAGGCCTAACCACTTCCATATGGGAGACAGAAGCAGCAACCTCTCTCGACTTTCTCATCACCTCATTTTGAAAAAGAAGCCCAAAAGGAAAAAAAAAAAACACTAATTACAAACCAGCCAAGAACATAGGTTGTCTTTGAACCCCTTGTTTAGCTAGTCCATCAGCCATGCTGTTAGCTTATCTCCAAACCCATCTAATTTGAATCAACATGTCTTTAGATATCTGCTTGAAGCACCTGAGCTCATTCCTTAGCTTCCATATTTCTCCTTCCCCCTTCTTCAGCCAGTTTACAACAATCTTTCAGTCCCCTTCAATAAACCACCTCATTGCTAGGAATATCCTTAAAGAGATCCAATGACTTAACCCAGTGAACCAACCACCTTGATGGTAATAGCTTCGACGATAGTTTCTCTGCTTCTTTCTTTTCCAAGAAAAATTCTCTAGTTCCTCTTCCCAAATTGTCCAACACACTGCTGCCCTTATTTACTTCCATAGCAGTCTTCCCCTCTTCTTTGACCAACTTATGAAGGTAGGGGCAAATAAGTTTTGTACATGAGGGCTCCACCTGCACCCAAACAAAGAAAAGGCACCATTAACCTTGCAGATGGAGCACCGGTGGGGAAAAAGGCACCAACTAGGTCTTCTATCTTTGGAGTAGCTCACAAGTATTAATTCTTTCCAAATACATTTCCCAGCACAAACTACCCGCCCTAAGCAGCACAGGTTTACTCCAAATCTCCCCAAATGGAAAGGAAAACCCCTGGATTTCACTCGGTTGAATGAGGGCTGAAAAAAAGGAGCCACATGTGAAGGTACCTGAGGGTGACATGGTCCAAATTCTCCCATCCCTTTTACCAACTTCCAGACACACCCTTTCCGATGTTTGTAATAGGTTTATCACACTATTTATTTCGCTCCCTTCACTTGCTCACCAAAGCTCCGAGGACCCCCTATTTGCTAATGTTGCTCATTCATTCATCCTAATAAAATATCTTCTTAAACAGCAATTAAAATTATAAAATCAATATTTTTTGTGTGAGAACTAAGAATTTGACCCTGACCTAACATGGACTTTGGGCTTGCCTCAAGGGACATGGCACAAAGGCGGCTCGTAGAATCAAGAATGTAATATGTTTTACATCACATTAGCTACTTGAAGTAATGCAATTGAGGGAAAAAGAGATTGTGGGTTTACATGCTTGAAAATGTTTTATATGTTTGATTTTATTTTTAAATCTTCATTTGAACACTCTTTACATGTTTATGTATTTCAATTTTAGATAATAGTTTTTTTAAACATTAACTTTAAAATTTAAGTTTATATTTTTTTATTATTATGTTTTAATATTTTATTTACTTTTTTTATTTTTTTGGCTTTTTTGCATTCTCTGACATTTTTTATTTTTTAGCTTTTTTTTTTGAATTTTTGCGCCTTGCTTCAAAAAGGTGCGCACCTTGCCTTGTGCCTTGCATCTTGAGCGCAAATTGGCCCTTGTGCCTTGCACTTTTTTAAACACTGATAGTAGGAGAGGTAGAATATCACAAATGGACTTCCAAGGAGAAACTCTAGTAGCCCTAGTGGCCTAGCCACAGTTCCAAAACCCCAACCAACCATCAACTACAAGACCAAGAATGCAAACTATCAATCTTGCACACAACTTATCCCTATCCACATGCAATCTCCACAACCATTTCCCCAATAGTGTCATGTTCCTTTCTTGGATGTTCCCAAGCCCTAACCCTCGAATTTCTTACTTCTACAAACCACCTCCCAACTTACATTGAGATCCTTCTTTTCCTCCCCTTGCTCCCACAAAAAAAAAAAAAATCCCTCATCGACTTCTCCATGCTTCTACTTTTTTTTTGATGAACTCTCCATGCTTCTACTTACCCCAATTGGTATTCTAAACATTGTTAAGTAGTAAACAGATAAGTTGGCCGAAGTAGATTTGGTTAACATGATTCTTCCTTCTAGGGACAAATAATTAATTCTCAATTTCTTCTTCTTCTCCCAGTTTCTAAGTTTCTTTTCTTTCTTCTCATGAATATGTTCATTTTCTATGTTTTAATATGAAGTTTATACTTTTTTTATGAAGATTATAGATAATTACTATTAAAAGATGATTGCTGGTTGCTATGGAACCTAGGAAATTACCCCAGGATTCATGGTCTAAAAAAAACATCCATTGCCTAGTAAGCACCTAGCTGCCCACCTAGGTGGCTAGGTGACAAGGCACCCCCCTCATCAACAGCCTCACCTTTTAACATTTTATTATTTAATTATTTTATACACTAAAAGGCAAAGAAATAAGTTGCTAAGTTTAGCAACTTCATCCATTACCAAATATGCCCTTTGGGGACATTTATAACAGCTGAAATGGCTAAACTGAATAACAACTTTTATTTAATTATTGAATATTGTATTATGTAATTATTTTCTCCATCAAATGACAACTTTTACTTGGGGTTGAGGGGTACCAGGCCCAGGTATACATCAGGAAGGCTAAGTCATCAAATTTATAGTTATACATTTATTTTCATTTAATTGTTCCTTTCCATTTATGGCTTGGGTCAGCACTTTGCTGTTTTTATTGTATTACTTCATCTAGCCCCTGTTTGTGAGACCTAACAACAGGGTTCTCTCTCCTTTTTATAATTAATACTATCCTTATTTGATCATGTGGTTATTGATAAAGAGCATGTAAATTTTTATGGTAACTCCTTTTTTAATGAATAACATATTCTTTTTTGGGAAAATCCATGATACCATAAAGACATGGTACTGGAAGAACTTTGACTAATCAAAGCACGAGCCATGAATTTCGAGGAATACCACCTGATTAGTCAACTCTTTTATGAGACCAGTTGATTGGCTATAAGTTTTTCTGGTATCATAGTCAAACCCTACCTTTTTTCACAAGTAACAGGAATTTCATTAATATGTAAACTTAATGTACAAATTTATATTCTGTTTTTAAAGAGGCCTAAACCTCTCCACACACATTTTCATTTATATCACAAGATAGCCTAAAAACATTGATACCTCATAGTCCATTGCTTGGCTAAAGTATCAGCCAAATGATTAGCTGATCTTTGCACCCACAATACTTCTATTGTCATACACCTTGTCAGCCATTTAATGCCTTTCACTTCATTTCTAAATGTCCATAGAGCTTCAACATAGTTATAACTTAGAACCATCTTATTGACACCTTTGAATCCCCTCCCACTACAGCCATCACTTCTGCCCTCAATGAGTCCCCAGCCCCAATCAGCCCTGAATACATAGCAACTACATTACCCTTCTCATCTCTGAAATCCGCTCCCACTCTCAATTGCCCCGGGTTTCCCAAGCTGCTGTCATCAAGGTTAAGCTTTAAGGTTTTAATTGTATAAGTCTCCACTACCTCATTCAATTCCTCATTATATTATTGATTGAATATGAGGAGAAAATTTCAATTGTTTTCTTGTACATCACAACTCACAGTGTTCTACTTGAGTTGAAATTAAATGATTCATTTCTGTTTTTTTATGAATTACGATATTGTATTAATAAAGGAAAAACTGAGGGAGAGCTTCCCTTAAAATAGAAAACTAATGCAAAAGGGAGCAAGCTCCAAAATTTAAAGTGCAAATACAAATTTTGGTTTCTTATTATAGCCATCTATGATGCCCATATATGGATACAGTTACAGACCGTATATGACAAATGGGGATAATATTCTCTATTTCCTAAAATACATACAAATACAGGTACAGATATCCCATGTAATATGATCATATCATGTGTTTGTATCTATTTTATGCAGATTACAGATACATGTCATGTTCAAGACTTATGCCTTGCCAAATTTAATTAAAATTTTAACATGTACAGATCTTTTTATGGTATAATTTGTTAATGCACACCATTTTACATATACAAGTATCATAGCTATCCATGCATTCAGCATTATTACAGGCTTTACAGCCTTGTTTGGTCTTTTAGGCACAAAAATGTATTTCACAGCAACCAACAACAGAGTTAATAAGGGTTGCACTCAGCTTCGATCTAAAAGAATAGATGACTATTCAATGCAAATATCTACTAAAAATATGTGCAGAAGGAGAACATGCTAGCATCTGGTGCTGGCATGCCTTAATCATAAAAAACAGAACCTTGTCTCTTAGAAGGCATTGTTAACAAGGTAATTCATGCTTTCATGCATTGGATGGTATAACATGCAATTTTATGGCATATAGTATGTAAGTTTACATCAAAAAGTCACTTAGTTTGCAATCAAAGTGGTGTTTTCTGTGTGGGTCGCAATCAAAGGCAGGATTTCTACCATTAACGTGCCGAGAAGAAAGGACATGATTCAACATCTCTTAATTCACTGTGTTTTCTCAGTGGCCATGAGGTCTCATGCACTAAAGTTGTTTGGATGAATTGAGTAACCCCTCCAGACTTGGCTTCCCTGATTTCTTCTTGGTGTCTGAAGGCTTTCAGTAAAAGGGGCATTTTTTTCTTTGGAATCTAACTACACAGGTGATCTGCCAGTGTCTCTGGAAAGAAAGTACTGGGTGACTGTTTGAAGATCTATCTTTATCTGCTGAAAATTGTGTGAAAAGTTTGAAAGAATTCTGTCAAGTGGGCTTCAGTTAGTAGCCTTTTTTCGTGGTGTGCAATTCCGGCAATTTAACAATCAATGGAGCAATATATTGTGGGATGATGATTTAGTTATGTTTCTGTTTATCTCGGAGTTTTTCTTTCTTGCTTTGTAGCTGTTGAGGAAACCTCTCCATCAACAGCATGCTCTTCATGATCATTAATGAAATCTTCACCATTTCTCAAACAATAATACTATATATATATATATAGTCATTCTTAGTTTGCAATACCTCAAAGTCTAGCATTCTTATCTTAAACCATGTAGCTTATTGTATTAATCTCCAACACAAGAAAAAGAAAAAAAAGAATTATTTTAAGATAAAATAAAAGAAATTTTATTAAAACAACCTGTAGTACTTAGTATTATTGACCTAATGTTACAATAGAAAAAAAGCAAAACATGAGGTATAGACGCAAGTAAAATGTCCTATCCTAGGGAAGAAATATAGTATGAAGTATGAACCAATTAGCCATTTATCTTGCAGCAAATAAGTTTTTCCACTTTTCTAGCATATGAAATGGAAAGAAGATCAATAAATAGATGACTGAAGATAGAAAAACAATAAACACTCATTGCTCTTGCATCCAAGATAATGTTTTCAAAATCAGAGTGAGAGAAAGAAAAGCACAAATAAGCCAATGGTCTTTTTCATTTTCGAAAGTAAACAGATCTTACCTTCCTTCCTTCTAAACACAGATTACACATGAATAATCTATGCTGGTGGTACAAATGACCCTTCAACTGCTCAATGCTCTTAAATTTCCCTCTTCGTTTAGAGCCATCATTCCCTTGATTCTCCATCTTATCACAGACACTACACGAAAGCCTACACATTGCTTTGATCATCTTATAGTGGTCTATATCATCAAAGTAAGCTTGTGTGTCCTCATGGTACCAGAACGACCCAACTTGACCCTCTGTTGAATTGGACGGGAAGACTAAAAAGTCATTTATCAGCCTTGTATAGTCTTCCAAAGCCTGAGAAAACCAACAAAGAGCCATACGTGCTAAGAAACCAACAAAAAACTATGTAATCTAAACAACAACAACAACGTTAACAACACTAATACGTATAAAAAACGTTAAGAATAAGAATGAACATTTGCAGTTAAAGAAATTTAACTATGTGCAGTGGCATGCAAAGTACCAAGTCTTACTCTCAACCCTGCCAAGGAGCAGTTAAAACCGTCCTCAAATAGACAATAGCACAAAGAGTGGTGAGGTTAAAGGATCAAAATAAAGCTAAGAACTCCCTGATTATTGTTTTTCTTTTTTTGATAAATAACTCCCTGATTATTGTTTTTTTTTTTTTGATAAATAACTCCCTGATTATTGTTTTAGAACAATCTTCAATTTTCCAATCACCGTTAAGCGACATTTGATGTAAAATCAATAATATCGAAATCGAAACTATCACACCATTAATCCAAACGTAGCGTCGAAAGAAACAACTGCATAAACAAAGAACACTCATTCCCACAAACAACATGAAATCAAACGACTTGATGATATACCGTGAAATCAACCATGGAATTTGATACATAGTCAAGGACCAAAAGTTCATATATAAGAGGAAACAACTACAGACACAATAAGCCCCTAAACTCCAATAAGACGAAAAAGAAGCATCCGCAGCCATGAAAACAAATAAAGATCAAACCCCCAAACCTTCGTGACGAAGACGACTTTGGACTCGGTTTTGCAGATGCAGCAACGGTTATCGTCGCAGATGAAACGTAGACGAGCGACGCAGGTTGAGCAGACCTCGCGGTGGCCGCATGGTCCGTACGCAACCCATTCGAGGTGTTCAGCGCAGACGGCACAGCTATCATCCATCTCTCTGGAACACGAAGAAATCAAATCAACACCAAAATCCCAAACCAGAGGCTGAAGATGAAGAAGATCTAGGGTTTCAGAGAACGAAAACAATATAAGTTAGATCACCTGGTGATTCTAGGGTTTGTCGAACTTGAGATGCAAGGCTTTATGGGAGAAATTGAATTCAAAGATGACTGCGGAAGTGATAAAAAGGATTCTGGTTTCTTTCTCTTTCTTTTTTTTTTCTCTTTTGAATTCGATCAGTCAAATAATTTTGATGGTGCCTGTCAAAAACCAAAAAATTGAGCGTTCTTCTTTGAGTTCTTTCCTTCCTCCTTTCTTCTTTTGGAGAGAAATGGAATTTAACAAATTCTGGAGGTTAGGAAGGACGCCCCACGGCCCCAGTCGCTACTCGCTAGGTTCTCTTTAGCTCAAACAACTATACGAGTCTTTCCTCATACCAACCAATGATATGATCCCACGTCAAAGGATCGTACAATATCAGATTATAATCTCGATGGAAACTTCACAGACCAGTGGACGTGAAGACAGAAGAACAATGCGTACACAATCCAATGGGCCAATTGGGCCAAATTGGCCCATTACTCAGTTTGGCCCTAGTGATAATTTTGTTTCCAGCAAGGTCCAACAATTGCAATTGTGCTTACGGGAAGGTCCAACAAAGCACAGAAATACGATTCCAACACCTTTGAAGGGGGATGCTACAGATGATACTACGGGATTATTTATGTTAAAAAAATAAGTGCTTATTCGAATAAATAAATAATTTATTTGTGTTTGGCACCTATTTTTTTAAGTGTTTATGTTATATTGGGCATTTGTTGGTAGTTTTTTTCTTCAATAAACACTTAAATAAGTTTTGTGATTATTTTGCCCTTCATTTTCTTTCAAATTTTATAAAAGCATTTAAAAATGTACTTTGCACTTTTTTGAAAATGCTTTTATAAAAGTATTTTAATAAAAGAACATTTATGAAAGTTTTTATGAAAGCACTTTAATGAAAGCACTTTAATAAGCACTTTCAGGAAAGTACTTTTATAAAAATCGACTAGGGATAATTTTGAAAAAAAAAATGAATAAGTGCTTATACAAAGTTGGAAATTTGGGCCTAAAAAATAAGCCATTTTTTTTAAACTAGCACTTAATGGTGTCATCCCGGCCTAAATAAGCACCTATTTTGAATGAGCACTTATTTTTAAGCACTCCCAAACATGGCCTACGATGGTAATTGGTATCGTCCATTTCTAAATATTTCATATAAATTGGAAAATACTACCTTTTATATATAAGGGGGTTGTTCACCTATTCCTCACAGCACCATCATCACAAGTCACAACATTCTCACAGGTCCTTACAGTAGTGCACGGAATATCTCTCCATAAATAAAAATATACAAGTGCAAAGATATTCCTAATGCACAACTATAAAAAGGTTGTGAGAGCGATTTTGTGAGGACTAAATCCGAGTTTGTTTAAGAATAATACTCAGGCGAAGTGCATGAAAGGAATTTGCATTGGTTCCCCAGGTAGCACCGCATAATATTAATACATTTCAACCGTGTATTGTGAACAACTATCCCTCCATGAGTATGTTAGGTGTTCCCAATGCACACTTAGGTGTATTGTAGGTGCACTCAAAAGGGAGCCAATCTGAACTCACGTGAAAGAGTCTATCTCATGTATCGACGCCACGTCACCCTTCATTACCAATGAGACAGATTTAGTCCTCACAAAACTTTGCTCATATCGTCCTCACATCCTTTTTAGCCGTCCATTTCTATATTTGTATCTTTTATTTCCCAATATACAGCTAAAGGGTTGTGAAGCTTAATTAAACCCTATGTATAGCTTTTCCTCTCTGAGCGAGCGGTGCTGTAAACCCTATGTATATATAGCTTGTGGTAAGATTAAACTCCCTTCTTATTATAGTCTTATAGAGAAGACCGGTGCCAGAATTTGTCTTTGTTTTTTTTGGTAAGAAAGATTGTAAATACAAACACAAGAAATAGGAAACAGAGAAAAAAACAACAGAAAAAAAAAAAGTAAGGGAACACTACCAAAGAAAACATGAAAAGCAAACTATGGGGCTCTGGGGCTTTATCAAACCCAGAGCCTAATAAAGCATACTCAGCCTCCACCAACCATACTGGAGGAGATAACCAAGAAGATACTAAACCAACTGAACCTTTTGAAGTGATAGAACATATGTATCCAGATCTGATCCTGGATCATGATAAGAATTCCGACTTCATCTTAATAAGATTATCTCTATAAGCTTATCCTTGTAGATAATCTTGGTAGTGTTCATGCTTATCCTAAACTCTTTATATTGACTCATTGTATGACTCAATTAGACTGCTATAAATACAAAGCAAACTCACGATTGATGTATTATCAACCAATTCATATTCAATTTTGTTTATGTTATTTCTTAATTATTTTGTTGTTCAAACTTGGTATCAGAGCCATGTTGACTAGTTTGAACAAGGCCGAGAATTTAGTTCTCCGATGAGTTCTGTACTAACTATATAGAACGTGATGCACTACCTGCCAATCAAGTTGACAGCAAACAACTATTTACTATGGAAGGCACAATTCTTACCTATTCTTCGTCATCATCACCTGGTTGAATTCGCGAAGGCAAAACGAAACCACCACTAGCGGAACTTCCCAATCCCACTAGTTCAGGGAGCATTCGAAACCTAATTTGATGTGGATGGACCTTGATCAGCTTGTTCTTAGCTGGTTAATCTCCTATCTCACCGAAAGTGTAATGGGACAAATCGTAGGTCTAACATCATCAACAAAAGTTTGGTGTGCCTTGACTCAGATTTACTCAACCCACTCTCGGTCAAGAGTACTTCAAATGAAGAGGCAACTCCAAAATCTCAAGAAGGGATCATTGTTTATTTTAGCCTACGTCCAACATGCTAAATCCATTGCGGACAGTCTCTACACCATCCCATAACCAGTTTCAAGCTCTGAACTTGTTCTCTATATCCTTTCTAGCTTGCGAAGTGAGTATGAGTCAATAGTGACTGCTCTCACCAACCATCCAGATGCAGTTGATCTCACCATCTCAGAGGTGCTTGGCTCTTTACTTAATAATGAATCATGGCTTGAAGATCAGGCTCAATCCTCTGAATCTCCTAATGCTAACTTTATTGGAGTTAAAGGCAAAGGAAATAACAATTCTCAGCATAATAAACAACAACAACAACAATTTTACCCTAATAATGGGGGTAGTCATGGTCATGGTCGTGGACGCGGCAACGGTCAGTACAATCCTCAATACAATCCCCAATTCTTTTAGAATATTTTTCAGAATAATTTTCCTAATCAACAACAATAGTTTAATGGAGGAGGTCGTGGAGGAAAGAATTCTGGCATTATTTGTCAAATCTGTAACAAGGTAGGCCATAGTGCCCTCCAGTGTCGTCGTGCACGCTATGTTTTCAATTTTCATAATGATTTTTATAGTGAACCAACAACTTTTCATGGAGGTGTTAGCTCTCCTCCAATGCAATTTGGAAATTCCAATTTTGGCAATACTCCTGCATTTGATCCAACATGGTATCTGGACTCGGGTGTCACTCATCACATGACACCAGAATTGGACAATTTACAGAATCGATCTGAGTACGGAGGATCATATCAAGGTAAAATCGGTAACGAGCAAGGTTTGCGCATACATCACATTGGTTCATCTTCTCTTTTATTTGATCAACATGCTTTTACATTAAAGGATATTTGCCATGTTCCATCTATTTGCAATAATTTATTATGTGTCAGTCACTTTACACATGATAATGATGTATTTTTTGAATTCCATCATGATTGTTGCTTTGTGAAGGATTACTCGGGAAGAATAGTTCTACGAGGGGTCAGTAGAAATGGGTTGTATTGCTTCTCGTCTTTGGCATCAATATCTTCAACTCCAAAAGCTCTTGTTGGTGAACGAACATCCATTAATGGTTGGCATTTACGTCTTAGGCATGCAACGTTTCACATCGTGCAACAAGTTCTCTCTCACTATGGTCTCCCATACACTTCTAATAAGTCTAGTCAATTAGTTTGTGAGTCGTGTCAAATGGGAATGAGTCATAGATTATCTTTATCTTCATCTTCTTTTCAGTCAAAGAGTCCCATAGAATTAATTTATTTTGATGTATGAGGTCCAACATCGGTTAAGTGTAAGAGTGGTCATTTTTATTATGTTTTATTTATGGATGATTTCTCAAAATTCTCTTGGTTGTATCCTATGACACAAAAATCGAAAGCCTTTGATATATATATTTTTTTGAAATTTAAGAGACATGTTGAAGTTCTCTTTAATGCCAAAATCTGTTGCTTCCAATCTGATTGGGGAGGTGAGTATTGGAAACTATCCAACTATTTTGACTCTCAGGGCATTATTCATCATCTTGCATGCCCTCACACACATGAACAAAATGGCTCAATTGAATGGAAGCACAAACATGTCATCAAATCAACTTTATCTCTACTGGCCAGCTCGAATCTCCCCCTATCCTTCTGGATAGATGCAGTAGAAACTACGGTATACTTATTAATCGACTTCCAACTCTCACTCTCAATGGTGTGTCGCCTTATGAAAAACTCTTTCATAGAAGTCCTGATTACTCCATGCTCCACTGCTTCGGTTGTGCTTGTTACCCATTACTTCGCTCGTACAACAAGAACAAGCTCACATTTCACACATCTCGCTGCATATTCATTGGGTACAACAATATGCACAAAGGTTATAAATGCCTACATTCTCCCACTGGCAAAATCTTTGTCGCTCAGCATGTTGTATTTGATGAAGGACTATTTCTAGGGATTCCCACACCTTCATCACTAGCATCACCACCATCCTTAGGGGTCTATGTATCCATACCTACCTAGCCAAGGGTTTATATATCTAAGACGTCACAACAACAGGAATCTGCACCATCTTCACCTCTTCCTTCGGTTTCCTCCACTTGTGAACCAGTTATGATGGCCACCTCCTTAGTTGAATCATCTCTGCCTCCTGCACGATACCGTAGTATGAAGATGTTCTTGCTCGTGCACTAGTTGTGCCACCTCCAGTTATTTGTACACACTCCATACGAACAAGATCCATGGATAGTACTCTTCCTCAGAGGTCTCTTACTGCAATTCGGTATCCTCTCCCATCTACTCTTCTTTTTTTTGCTCTCTAATGATAAGACTGAACCTCATATGTTCATGGAAGCATCTAAATCTGTTCATTGGAGAGATGCCATGCAACAGGAGTTCAATGTTTTGATTACTAACGACACCTGGGAGCCGGTACCTTATGAGCCCACCATGAATGTCATCGGGATGAAATGGGTATACAAAGTCAAAACCAAGGCCGATGGTACTCTAGCCTACTATAAAGCACGTTTGGTTGCACATGGTTTTCATCAAATACCCAGGTTGGATTTCTTTGACACTTACAGTCCCATTATCAAACCTGTAACTGTACTCACTATCCTTGCCTTGGTAGTCTCTCAATCCTGGCCCATTTGGCAACTAGACATCAACAATAGCTTTCTTCATGGTTTTATTGATGAAGACATCTATGTTAAACAACCCAAGGGTTTTGAAGACCCATTTTGTCCTCACCATGTTTGTTGTCTCTGAAAGGCTTTATATGGCTTACGCCAAGCTCCTCGGGCCTGGTATTCACGACTTACTGTTGTTCTTCTTGGTCTTGGTTTTCGGAATTCGTCTATTGATCCATCTCTTTTCATCTTCACACGTGACATAGTGACTCTCTACATGCTTACCTACGTGGATGATATCTTGGTAACAGGAAACTCAAAGGCGCCTATTGATCAACTTCTCTCATCTTTGTCCTCAATCTTTCCACTTAAAGATTTGGGGTTCCTTCATAATTTTTTCGGGATCAAAGCATGTTCTACTGCCAACTGCTTAGTTCTTTCTTAGGAACGATACATCTTGGATCTGCTCACTAGTACCAAGCTTGATGGTGCTAAACCGGTCTCCTCTCCTATGGTTGCTTCTTCAAAGTTGTCTCGTACCTCTAGTACTCCCTTGTCTGACCCTTTAGAACACAGGAGCATTGTTGGTGCCTTACAGTATGTCACCATTACACACCCTGACATTTCCTTTGTAGTGAATAAGGTCAGCCAGTTTCTATATTCACCAATTGATGAACACTGGTCTATCATTAAGTGCATCCTATGGTACTTGAAGTCTACAATTACTCATGGTCTTTTGTTTCTCCTCATTACCATCTCTTCGGTTCACTGGCTACACTGATGCTAACTGGGCCAGCTACCCAAATGATAGGTGCTCCACTGGCGGTTATGCCGTTCATCTAGGCCCCAACTTCATCTCCTAGAGCTCCAAGAAATAACCAACGGTTGCTCGTTTAAGTACTAAGTCGGAGTTTCGCTCTCTTGCCAATACTGTCACCGAATTACTCTAGCTACAATCTCTTCTCAAAGATCTCGGCTATGCCTCTCCCCCTCTAGTTCTCTGGTGCGACAATATTGGTGCAACTTACTTAGCTTCTACTCCTGTTTTTCACGCTCAAACGAAGCACATTGAGGTTGACTTTCATTTTCTTCAAGATCTCTCTCTTAGCAAAAATTATTCATTTGATGTATTCCCTCAGCAGATAAAATTGCTGACATTTTTACTAAATCCCTCTCCTCTGCTCGGTTCACCACTCTTCAGTCGAAGCTTCATGTTACCACACTCAACTTAGGGGGGCTGATAGAACATACGTATCCAGATCTGATTTATGATAAGAATTCCGAATTCATCTTGATAAGCTTATATCCTTGTAGATAATCTTGGCAGTGTTCATGTTTATCCTAAACTCTGTATATTGACTCATTGTATGACTCAAAGTCTTAGACTACTATAAGTACAAAGCAAACTCACGGTTGATGTATTATCAGCTAATTCATATTCAATTTTGTTTCTATTATTGCTTAATTATTTTGTTGTTCAAACTTGAAGCAAGGAGTGAGCTTGTGAGATAAACTCTCTTTTAACAAATCAAAGCTTCAGAATAATTCCATCAAGATTAGATATGCATTAATTCCAGATAAAATAGGCCAACCAGTAGGTTGATAGTCAAAGATTGAGAGGCAAGAGCTTTAATCAAGGTAAGAGAATCACTTAGGACTAACATATTCCCAATACCAACCACCTTAGTAGTAAAACAACAAGATTTAATGGTAAAAGTTTCAGCATATTCGGCCAATATCACCTTACAAGAGCCACAACGTAACTAACTTTTAGAAAAAGAGCCAGTGTCATTTTGAATTACAAAACTAGAACCATTGCCCATGTTTTTTTAGAAGCTACCATCTTCCAGCTACACAAAAACTGAGAAGACCATCTATCAATATAGCTTGCCATGGTAGATTCTAGTTTCATAACTCTTACGCTGGGAGGCTTGTTAGATAATTAAAAACATATTGAACAATTCCTAATTGACATGGTATTAGAGTGTAGTTATAGTTGGTCTAGTGTTTGATCCTTGACATTGCCATTATGATTAATTAAATTTAGCACAAGGCATATGGATGGGTTTGAAATTGTCAATGCTTCAAGTGCAATAAGCCTTTATGTGAAAGAGGTGTTAGGGAAAAAAACTATTTAAGGACCTCACCTAATAACTTAAGCTCTAAGGTTGAAGCATCAATGGTTCTTTACAGAATGAATGGTTTAAAGAGTCAAAGCAGAGGTTTTAAAGAAGATGTGTGTGTGTGTGAGAGAGAGAGAGAGAACAAGGATTCATTATACTTCATAAATTTGATAAGTATTTTAACAACGGTTAAAAGTGGGTTTTAATCTTTTTCAAGAGTGGGGTGAAGGTATTTTAAGGGATAGGTGTCAACAAATTTTCAAGTGTTCATTGAACGTGCTTACAACGTTGTGCCTATCTGATTCAAATTGGTTATAACTAGGTTGCATTCAAATTGGACAAGCTCATCATGGTTACTATTGATTCAATAAATAATTTTAAAGTCCATAAAAAACCATGCATGGTTAAATCTAGAGTTCCGATGCAAAAATCATGGCCGAGGCTGACATTCTCAATTGCCATATTTACATGGAACATCCATGAGATGTTATTTTTACATCAATAAAAAAGAAGTAAATTTGCATTCAAAGTAGGCTTTTGTTAGAAAAGGCATCTTACTTTATCGGAATTTGTATTTGCATTCATTACAACTAAAAGTTGTTGGGTAAGGTGATTTTGTCAATGCAAAACTAACCCAACTTTGCATTTGTATGAATCAAAATGCATTGTGTATATCTTCATTTATACTCTTTTGCATCGTTTCCAAACACAGCCTTAGAAACCAATTAATGCCACCTAAAATGTTTTTCTTTATCCAAGATCGGCCTAGACACAATAGGACAGCATACCCTACACCGAAGAGTGAAAATATACATTGATTGACCTTATTCCACCACAACCCTTGGTTGTGTTTCTTTGCGGTATAATGCAAATTGACATAAAACTCCACCGCTGGTTTATATTTGTCCACATTTGCTTTAAAGGTAAATACGGACCAGTGTAAAACTCTATTCTTGGTCTGTATTTTTAGACATGTACATGGGTCGGGTCGGGCCTTCATTGGTTATCAATGCAATATATTGAGGCCCGAGCCCGAACCTGAGCCCATCCCTCATAAAAGCCCGCACCGTTGAATTATAGATGTTGTCGATCTAATGTTGGAATTTGAGATTGTTTGGAGCAGAGCTCGAAGAAACGGGGAATGGTTGTTGGCTTGCCGCTACTGGAGCATAGCTCGGGGAAATGGGGACGCCGTCATGTTACTAAGAGATAGTCGGTGACAGAGCTCGGAGAGATGTTGTCGCCTCACCCATCACTAGATCGTTGCTTGAGTTTAGATTGTAGAAGCACTACCGTTGGTCACCGTTGTGAAGGGGATTAGGTCTTCGAACTTCAAACAAAACTGGGATGAGTTTGAATGAACAATTGGGCTAGGGTTAGAAAAATTACATTTTTAATAATATATATTATTAATATTTTTATATATTGTCTGGCCGGGCCAGGCCAGGTTTTTTTGTGAAATCCCAAGCCCAGGCTGAAATCAGGTCAGGCTTAGATAATAGGGCCCTGAGCCCAGGCCCATGGGTCTAATAATATGTCCAAGCCCAACCGTGGCCGGGTCAGGCCGTCGAGCTATCCAACCCATGAACAGGTCTATGTATTTTCATGCATTTAATTGAAATGTAAATTTTACATAGAATCGATGTAAACCTCACACACAGTTGAGTTTTACATCGATAATCGATATAAATACTACATCGATTTTATCAATGTATTTGTACACTGATTAACTACGCCAATATACTTTTACATTGATGACAATTTACACCAAAATCAAACGCAGTCTTAGAAATTAGAATTAGTTTAAAAAATAGGCCATAGATGGAGGTGAGGAAAAATAGCTGAACCATTAAAGAAAAGCTGTTTGCAATTTTACATGAAACCGACTGAATCCTCCCTTCTTCCAAAGTGCTCCTTTAGTTCTTGCTTGTAAAAGTACGGTATCCGAACATTGCTTGCGGCTGGCTCGCCGTGCACTTCGACCGCTAGAGTACACTGAATTGGATGCTTTGCTTTGGTTGTATGTTGAAAGTTACTTGGATCCATGCAACATGTACATGCACGAGGTAGCCTGCCTTACGGGCAAGGTGTCTCAATCTCTTGCTTTATACTGGATGGTTTCTTCGAACACATGGCAAGCAACTTGGTAACAACATAAGAGCAGTCTCGTTGTATGTGTGGATCCAAGGTTCGGAAGCCTCAGTGATATAGCTAGCAAATAATTAAGCTACTTATTTCAGTCAATCGATGGCGATTGTGTATCCTTCTCCACCTCAGAAGGACCGCCCCCTTCACTTGGACGTCGCAAACTGTATGCTTTTCTTTTAGTAATTTTCGTCTGATTTTATTTGTTAATGTCATTATATATATATATATATATATATATATATATATATATATATATTTCTTTTATATACACATCATATTGTTAAGACAGTTTGGAAGTACTTAAGAATAAGTGCTTCGAATAAGTATTTATTTTGGGCGGAATTACATTAATAATCACTTATTTGCATTTTGAGGGGCCCTTGTTTTTTGGATTTTGGAAGGAAAGAGAGGAGGTTGCTAACCTATATTCTTTTTTCAGATTTATTTGGGGATTAGGGAAAGTTTATTTTTTTGGATATGTCCATCTCTCAAGTGGATAATTAACTTTCCCACACATGAGGGAAAATTATCAACATTTGGATGGGATAAAAATGTCCCTTTTAATAATAGATTTTTATGATTAGAAAGGTCATTGTCTTATTTACTTGAGAAATAAAAGAATATAGATAAATGCATTTACCTGAATATACCTAAAATAAAAACACAGAAGTAAGTAATTTATCAAAAAGCAAACGAACCCTAAAAATAAAAACTTATTTCATAAGCCCAAAATAATTTTTAAGTCTTTATTCAATAAGTGTTTATTTCTTTTACAGCTTATCTTAACCCGCTACTACATTTTCAAAATACTTATAATACCCCTGTTTAAAATAAGTAATTTTTCTCCGAATACTCTCGAACTTGGCCTAAATCTATAAAGCATTTATTTGTTTTACCCATTAGCTAGCTTTACAACATTTCTGAAATGGAAATGGTACAGCTAGAGATGCTCCACCAGCACACTACATATTTAAGATTCGGTCATTTTCTTTACTTTCGAAGGCTTCAGTTGAGAAATATGACTCCGACGTTTTTGAAGTGGGAGGCTACAAATGGTGAGTGTTGGATTCTCTCGATCACTGTTGCCTTCATTTAAACCTTTGCATATTGGCTGTTAGTTTATTCGATCGGGACGCTTAATCATAACGCCTTATCTTTGATCATCTGCTGAACGTCACAGGAAGTTGTCTCTCTATCCAGATGGGAACAAGGTCGGAAATGGAAGTGATCACATCTCCCTATACTTGGTATTGGCAGACAGCAGTTTGCTTCAGGCAGGTTCGGAGGTGAATGCCACTTTCAGTTTGTTTCTATTTGATCAGCTTCAGGACAAGTATCTGACTTTCCAAGGTAACCTGGCCACAACAGCAAAATTATACCAAATAAAGTATAGATGTGTAAATTAGTTTCAAACTTTCAATAGAGTGTCATATAGGTGTAAATTGGGCTCTGCTTGCTTCCTCTAGGATACTTTAGATGTTAGGCCTGGCATAGCCCATGGCATAAGCCCAGGTGGGATCAAGTTAGGTCATGCCATGCCAAGCCATAAGAGGCATATTTGTTAAAAGAAATTAAAAAAAATAAGGAAAATAAATTAATAAAATAGATGAAAAATCGTAAAAAATTTATTTATATAATAATGAAATTAAAAAATATAATACAATTGGAATAAAATAGTACAATCAAGGTTCAAAATTTCGATACAATATATTCCGTATCGGGCATATTGTATCGTATCTTTAGGGGTCCGATACAGACCCCACTCTTTTTTAATAAAAAACATGTTTAAATATCTTCCCAAAAACCAAATTTTGAAAAAAAAAACTAAGAAAAAGTATTTCCGCGTGTATCTAAGCACGGCCCGATTTACAGCTCTGAAAAAGTGATGATTCAATGAAAAACGCTCTTACTTCTCATTACCACTCCATGCAGAGAGGAGAGTGAGGCGCTTTTATGCAATGAGAACGGAATGGGGTATTGCCAGATTCATCGACCTTAAAACCTTCAAGGACCCGAATAATGGATACCTTGTTAGTGATACTTGTGTGTTTGGAGCTGAGATTTTCATCATCAAAAATGAGGCGAGAGGCGTGTGTTTGTCTATGGAAGAGGGAGCTGTTGCTTGTACCCACACTTGGAAGATGGAAAAATTTTCAGGGATTGATACGGAACGCTTGGATTCTGAGGCATTCCTAGCAGGAGATTATAAATGGTATACGATGAGAGACTTCTTCCTCTTTGCTCTTAAACTAGTGGACAGATTCATCTCCTTGCTTCATTGTGATGAATTTATATTGACGTTTTGATGCTTGAGTTACAGGAAGATTAGGCTCTATCCTAAGGGAATTGGCGATGGCAAAGGCAATAGTATTTCTCTGTTTCTAGCTTTAGCTGATTCTACTACTCTTCCTCCTGACACCAAAGTCTACACCAAATTGGCCATGCGTATCATGGACCAAGCCAGCGGCGCACATTCCCAAGAAGAAAGTAAGAACCAATTATAATCCCCTCTCTCTCTCTCTCTCTCTCTAGATCTCTAGAGAACCACCATTCAGGATAGAATGCAAATTGTCTGCAGAAATTACATCGTTTCTTTTAATTTGCAGCTTATCATCTATTCAGTCCTTCGGTCTCGGTTTGGGGCTGGCCCAACTTCATGACACTCGCTAAGCTCAATGACCAATCAACCAAATCTTTTCTTCGGAATGGTAGTTGTATCTTCCAAGCAGAGGTTACAGTCCTTGGATCGGTCTCTAAATTGGCATAAAGGTCAATTAGAATTCAGTGTTTGATGTTAATTGAAGATGGTCTCTGCTAGCGAAAAGCAGAGGATATATAGAAACAGAGTGTTATGTATAGTTGGTGAACGGAGTGATATCTTGGTTCACCGGCAACCAAGATTTACTGTAAATGTTGCTTAATAAACCCTCTAAGTCATCCTTTTCAATGGAATGCTCTAACAATTAAGGGGGCCCAATTTCCGAAGTGGTTGATTCATCAGTCTGTAGAACAGTAGAACTACTAAAAGCGTGCAATTGATAGTTGCGTCGATAACAATTTTAGGCCCAGTTAATCAACATCAACAGATCCTTTAATAGAGTTTGAACTCTGAAATGATAAAAGACAAAGCAACAAGTTATTCAGTTCAGCCTCCAGAGAACATACCACACGGGGATACAATTGAAAAACTTAAGCAAGAAAATTAAAAGCTAAAACCCACGAAGATTAGATCCAAAAAACCCAATCTGGAAGACTGATCCAGAGAATGAAGTGGCTCAAGCTTGATTCAGGGCGAGCCTCCTCCAGCTCCAAGAGAGTCACCAGGATTAAAGGGTGCAACGGGGAGACATCCGAAGCCCGGCCTCGCACAAAAGCCCGAGGGCCCAAAGCTAAAGCCAAAACCGAAACCAGGATTAGAAAAGGACCCCGCAGAAGCACCTCCAAAGAAGTTTTGTGGGTGATCAACGAGCTTCACCATCACCTTGCTACTCATGCCTCTTCCTCCTTCTGAACTCGATGCAAAAGCCAAAAGAAGCAGCACAACGACGAACGACGCCTTTCCAGTAACTCTGCCAGTCATCTTCTCTCCCTCTCTTCTCTTCACTATTCGGCCAAATTACATGTAGAGATGTTTTCATAGCTGCTACCCATTTATAGGATGTTAAGTGGACATTTCACTTTAGGAATTTCCGTTACGCTCCATGTATAAATTAACTGAAACTTTTGACAGTGTAGTGTGTTGCACTGTAGCGTGGTCCCTTTGCTCATGCATGGAAGTATGGAATTCATTTGGAACTGATATAGCTTTCTCAAAAAAGGTGCCATGTCGGCACCACACACAGTGCCGGGAAAAACGATGATATGGAATTCATTTGGAACCGATATAGCTTTCTCAAGAAAAGGTCCTTTTTTTTCATTAAAAAAAAAGGTTTTTCCATATCTTAGAAATCCGGAAAGCATAGTATGAGAAAACGTCCTTTTTTATCCTTTTTTATTTTTAGGTGATATTTGTCACCGATGATGATATGTTGAAAATCACTGCTATGTCGGAGCCACATCAGGTTAGAGAAATTGGTATTGAAATTTCTGTTTGGTCAGCTGATTTTGGTGATTTTCAGAAAAAATCGGCCAAAATTGATAATTGAAATCAGTCATTTGGTGATTTCTTTATTTTTAACTGATTTTTATTTTTTGATGATGATATATCACTTAAATTGGCATTGAATAATAACTCTAGTATAAAGATAATGGGCCCTAAGTACCAAACAAGCTCAAAGCCCATTTCTCAAATCGACTTACATGGCATAAATGATACCAAACAACAATTGTTGTGATTTTTCAAAATTCACCGATTCCAGAAATCACTGATTTCTGATTAATTGATAAGGAGAAATCATCATGGATCGTCTTATACTGTTTGTTCATGTACTATTGAAAAAACCTACCTTACGAAACAATTGTCAATAAAATACATTCCAACCCTCTACCAACATGATCTCACACCACTCATCTGATACATGACAGGTTTGACTTTTATGATAGGTCCCATTCTCATGGTGTTATGTAACGTGTTTTGTTGGCAGAAAATTCCAAATCCACTAACAGCATACCAATGCAGCACCGTATTCCGAAAAGACCAGAGTAACCGCATGAACAAATCATTAAACTAACTACAAAATCGATTTCATTTTTCGAAAGTTGCTTGAGAATTTATTTAATAATGAGTTCTGCACAATCGTTGGTCGCTGTTTATACATGACACCCAACAAGTTTTTACCTCCATTGTTTTATTTCTATTTTGGATGTGATTGTTGTCTTGAATTGGGATTTGCTCCCTTTATGTTATATTTGGTTTGAAGGAAAAAGTAGGAAAAGGAAAAGAAAAATAGGGAAACATTCCCAAAGCTTGTATAGATTTCTTTAACTTTTCTTTCTTTTTTCTACTTTTTCCTTCAAACCAAACATAGCCTTAGATTATACCTTACACCAACTTTACATACATTCCATCATGTATTGAGTTGAATATCTCTGAATGAATGAATGAATGAATAATAATAATAATAATAAGTACGAGATCATATACTCCTCCATATACAGCTGGGACGTGTTGTGAGGTTGGTGTGAGAAATATTCTATGAAAAGTAGATCAGGACTCATGTTCTATAGGCTATATTTAGAGACGGTGCAAATAGGGTGTAAACACCAATTTAATGCAATTATGCACTTTGGTTCAGTTTTGTTGACATTTGGCAAGAAAGCTTTGTGTATTGATAGTGACATAAAATACAATTTCTAGGACAAGTTTATACCTAAAATGAGAGGTAATTCTACATATAAAAAAAAGTAAATTTGCATTCAAAGTGGTTAATATTAGAAAATGTCTATTACTATATCGGGATTCATATTTTCATCCATTACAATTAAAAATCCTTTGATAAGAAAATAAATTTGTCAAGATAAAATTAATCCAACTTTGCATCTGTATGGAACAGAATACACTCTACATATTTAAATTTAAACTCTATTTGCATCGTTCTGCTTTAAGCGAAAAAATTTGAGTTGAAATGCATCTTAATACCGTGCTTATAATAAAAGAATCAGCAATAAAAAAGGATTAGCAATTAAAACCTCAAATCAGAAAAAGATTATATATCATTCAAGGGATGTGAAATTGTTAAATAGCATGCATATCACCAATTGATAACCTAGGGAGTATTGTCACCGGCCTACCTACTCGAACAATCGGTCAATGCGCCCATGCACAAAGTGCACAACTCCATTCTCCACCATTAAATCCATAACCAGGATCGTACCCAGGCCCATAATCTGATCGACATGTCCGTACAGTCATGGCCCATCATGGCCATATTCAACCACAACCACCAAATGTATCTTTCATCAAACCTGCCACCTCCCAGCCCGAATACAGCATCTCTACTCTTTACTGCAAGGCATTTAGGCTCAGTTTGAAAGGGGTACAAAGATATATAGCAGAGTGCAATAATCTTGTATTTCCTTATTATTGTGTATATTTTTGTACACTTTTCAAACTTGAAAAGAGTGTAAATACAAATGTGTATGATGCAAATTCTTGTATTTTGTATTTCTAAACCAATATTTGCATTATACATATTTGTATTTGTATTCTTTTCAAACTAAGCCTAATGCTCAGTTTGGAAGGAGTATAAATACAAATATATAGAGTGTAAAATCTTTCATTTTGTATTATTTTGTATGCATTTGTAATGTATACATTTATATTTGTATGCCTTCCAAATTGAGCCTTAAGCACATTACTTGTACTTTGATAATTCAATCAACCAACCAAAATCACAATGACATCTTACATTTTTCATATAACTAGTAAATGTGCAAGCATGTAGCAATTTCAAAGGATAACAACAACAATAATTGTATTTATATATTGGTGATTTATTGCCTTTCAACCTAAACACTTATATCAAATCTTTTTACTCTATAACTTATATCAATATTTTCAATTTATTATGTTAATTGAACCATTGCTTGCCTAGAGACCGATTAGACTAATTGAATTGTTACTTGACCTGGATTTTAGATTCATTTTCCACCAAATTGCTTGTCTGTAGAAAACCATTGATTTGTCCAACAACATGATGGCCTACCTAATCAAACCATTGAATCATTTGATTTGTTTAGTAGGGTGATGGAATAGACATTAATTTTCTCTTTTCATAATTTTGGTATTCCATTTCCATCGTTTAACAAACATGAAAGTAGTTTCTTTGCTTGGGCAGTTTTAAATTTTGTATTCCCTTTCTATCATTAAAAAAATTCTTCTTGTTTATCATACTTAAAAACCGATTTTGTTTCCAAATTGATTTTCAATATACAAGTTTATACTATTAAAATTGTTATTAGTGAAATTTAATGTTGGGAAACAAAATTACATTAAACATATGATTCAATGAGAGAGAATGGAAATTAACCTTAAATATAAGACTTAATGAGAGAGAATGGAATGAAATAAATATAGTATTCAATTTACAATTTATATCTTCATAATAGAGAAAGAGAGAGAGAGAGAGTGATTTCAAAGAGAGGGGTATTTTAAGTCAAGAAAAAGTCTAGAAGCCTTAGAAAAATAGAAATCTATTGTCACTTTTTATAAATTTTAAGTAAATTGTAATTCATCTACAAATCAACATGTATAACTTTATAAAATCAATACTTGTTCCAAATGATGTTGTTCCAACTGAGATGGACAAAAAGCAGATATTGTCTTGTTGATCTGCAAAAGCTGAGGTAGATCCAAGGATTTGCAAACATCAAAGTCAGAAGCCTTGAGAGGGTTCCTCGAAGAGGAGAATTCTGATGCTCAAGTCAATAAGGAGAAGAAGAGGACAACTAAGCTGACCTAATGAGGATGAGCTAGTCGTAGACTCGTAGCCAAACAGTGCTGAAAAGCTTAAAAGAGCAAGAATGGAAGCAGAAGTCTTATGCGTCGTGTCCTTAAATACTTGTAGACGGGAGGTTGAGCCGAGCTTGGAGTTCACCATGTGCCCTTCTTTGTCCAAGGTTCGCAGCATGAATTACTACCGTTGTCTCCGATGAATGGCAGCATTCTATGTCATTAGCTTGGTCGTGCTTCTGGCCTCATGTTTGTCCACATTAATGTCCACGTGGCGGTTCAACTAGGACAAGGTACTCCCCATCATCATGTTTTCAACCTATTGACTTGGCTAGTCAGGCAAGATCATTCGCTTACAATTCTAGTTTGGTTGAACCACTAACCCATCATATCACAAAATCTTTGACTTGATAAACGATTTGCTCATCTAAATGGTTGGACTATCAACTAAGGATGTCAATGGACCGGTTTTGGATTGGATCCCATTCAGTCCAAAATCAATTTGGACGGACCAACAAGATATATTGGATTGGATCAATCCGGTCTAAAATATTTAT